CGTAGCTCTAAAAGACATTGACTCTATCGACTTTCTTCTGGCTACTTGCCAAAACTACGAAAAGTTCCTAGACAGAGACAAACAATTTAAAGAACCAAATGTACAACAAAGTCCTCTTATTTCTTAATTCAACTACAAGCATTCCACTTCAAGTTCAGTTGACTCTCCAAATTCTTCTAATAACTCACGACCTTCTCCTCCCTTCATGAATAAATTCACTTCACCCTACAAATACCCTTCTAGATAAGTTAATAGTCTCTTTCTAACTAAAGCTCCTCAAGAAAGCTCTTTTTGTGTTCGCTGTCGTAAACAAGGTCATACTTTGAACACTTGTACTCGACCACGATTCGTGATTTGTTTTAAATGTGGTCTTAAAGGTTTTAAAACTGCAGATTGCCCTACTTGTTCTCCCAAACAACATACTAGTTCAAAAAAACTAACTGCTGACTTGAAAAGTAACTTAAACTTTGATAATGACGATTGGACTAGTTGGATTAAAACAATTCATAACTTCTTTTCTTGTTACAAAATCTCTTCTACACTCTACTCTAAAGAACAAGATCTTAATCGTCCATTCGTTAATGTCAAAATTTCATGACTTAACTTTATCTGGTTTACTAGATTCTGGCAGCTCAGTAACTATTCTGGGTAATAATTCTCATTTGGAAATTCTTAATCAGAAAGTTAATTCCTTGGGTTAATTTGACTTACCTGTTCATTTCAATAATCAAACTCATTGGATTAAAGCTTATGTTTTCCCTGAAATATTTCCTTCGCTAATAATTGACTTTTGGAGAAAATTTAATCTTTTACCTAGTGTTTTATCTTCTCTTAACTTTACAGAATCTAAATACTATTCTGCTATCGAAACTAAAAATATGAAAGTTTTACCTTATGAGCATTTAACTCTTAACCAAAAGAACATCGCTAACGACATCATCCAACGCTTCAAGACAATTTCTTTAGAAGAAAAAGGTATCCTGGGAAGCACACACTTAATCACCCACAAGATTGATTACTGGTGATTCTCCTCCAATCAAACAAAGATGTTACAGACTGTCTCCTGAAAAACAAAAGGCGTTAATTAATGAAGTTGACAAGATGCTGGGATGGAACGTCATTGAACAATGCGAAAGTCCTTGGTTATCTCCAGTTCTCATCACTCCGAAGAAGAATGGTGAATGGCGTTTCTGCGTAGACAGCAGGAAGCTTAACTCAGTTACACGTCGTGATGCTTATAGTCTGCCACTAATAAGTGAAATTTTGGACAACCATCTTGCTAAGATTCAGTACGCAATGAACAGAGCTACAAATGTAGCTACTGGCTTTACTCCAAACTTTTTAGTCTTTGGTAGGGAAACAATACCTTGTGGTTCCTTCTATACTCCAACTCAGAACCTTGAGGAATTGATATTTATGCCTCGTGATATTTACGCGTCTATTGCTGGTCTCCTCTCATCTATTTTTCACAAAGTTAAAACTAAACTTCACATACCTCACGCTAAAAATAGCGCTCGCTATGATCTTCGCCGGTCTTTTAAAGAATATAATGTGGGAGACACTGTTTGGCGTAAAAACCATGTTTTAAGCAATGCCGGCGCATACTTTAATCCTAAACTTGCCCCTAAGTTCATCAAGTGCAAAGTGATAGCTAAACTGTCACCACTAGTCTATGTGCTTGAAGACCCTAATGGAGTTAGAGGCAAGTGGCACATCAAAGATGTAAAATCGTAAATTTTCTTAACTTTTATTAACTGTTAATTTGTATATATGTATAAATATCACCATCATTCTCACCTTATTATTTTTATTTCTTTTAATTTGTTTGTTTGTTTGGTGATCCAGTGTTTTTCAACACATCTTGCTTTAGGACCTCGAATTTTCGTTGGTTAATCTTCACTTTTTATCATCCGGGCGCTGTGTGTGCCTAGTCCTGGCGCTGTGTGTGCCTACTTCAAGCTCTGCGTGTGCCTACTCCAGACGCTGCGTGTGCCTAGATCAGGCGCTGCGCACCTACCACAGGCATATCCTGTGCATACTCCGTGAGCGGTGAGCACCACTGCCAAGCGCGGTGTGCCACCTTGGTCTTCGGGCTCCGTTTCAGTACTCACTTATCTTTATTATTTTAAAAAAAATTATTGTAATTCACGTCACTCATCATCATCTTCATATTTTTTTTTATAAAACTGTAAATATCTTTTAAAATTTTAAATAAATTCTTCGTTTTTGTTCTATTTTTGTTGTTTCGTTGTTGTTAGGTTAGGTTCTTTTGTTTTTAATTGTCGCTTTACGACATGCTTTATAGCCTCACCAACCATTGCTAGATTTATTTCATTTTAGATTAATTCCTTAGACAATGCACTCTAATTTAATATTGAATAGATTTAAATAGTATTCGTTTAGTTTAAATTTAAACTTTGTTTAGTTATTCGCAAATAGAATTATTCATTTAAATAGTGTTCGTTTATTTTAAATTTAAACTTTGGTTAGTTATTCGCAAATAGAATTATTCATTTAAAATAGTTTAGTTACATACGGCTTATTCGACCTACCCGACATTTTGTAAAAAAACAGTGTGAGTTTAGCGACCGACACGCATCACCTCGGCTCGTTGTAAAGGTGTTCAATTTAACGACGTAATACGGCACGATAAGACAATAGTGTTGTGAGATATAGTTGTATTACATTGCGTCCATCCTCCAGCGTTGTGCGATTAATTGTGATTAATCTAATATTAATTATAGTAATTTAAAATGGCAGTTAGTGGAAATGAAATTAAAATTAAAACTCTTTACGCCAAGAGGGACATACTCTTCTCACGTATATAGTTTATAAGTGATCACATAAAGAATATTAACGTAGAAGCAGTGCGGGAGAGGTTTTTATGTGAAATCGAAACGGTGGACTCTTTGTGGACGGATTATGAAAGGATATTAGACCAAATTAATAATTTGGAATTACAAATCAACTCTAAGTATACAGTAAACTACCAGCCGCTTCTAGCATTTGAAGACATGTTGTGTCGAGTGAAAAGAACGGCGAAGCTCTTGCAGTCCCCATCTCAAAGCGAAGCAAAGCCGGAAGCCCAGGTACGCCCACGTGACTCACTCAGGTTGCTCCCCATAGATATTCCGGTATTCAATGGCGATATTAAAACATGGCCCTTCTTCTTTAGTAGTTTTCAAAACAACATACATAATAATCCATCGTTATTACTATACTATATTATATTATACTATTTAAATAAATTTATATTATATTATACTATTTAATTAGTAAACTGAGTAGTAGGGCACAATCAATTTGCTCGGGTTTCACACCAACAGCAAACAATTATTCATTAATATTTGAAACACTTGAGGACAAATATGAAGATAAGCGAATGTTAGCCACTTCATATTTAGCCCAAATATTTGATATTAAACCTATATCATCCGCGAACATCACCGGCTTAGAGCAGTTTTTAGATAAATTTGTAGCATCGATGGCTGCACTTAAGAACTTGAAATTTAATGACCTTATGGACGTGGTGTTTCTCCATATTGCACTAAAGAAACTAGACCCCGACACCGTGCGTGCGTTTGAAATGGAGCATCGTAGTTCTGAGTTGCCCTCATTTGATTTATTAGCATCCTTTGTGCGAGACCAAAGTAAAGTGATACAGCACTTCTCGAACGTTAAACAAGAAGTTAAGAAAGATGTCGACCGCAGACAGACTCCATCATCTAAAACCGCAGGGTCTCTAACGTACGTAACCGCCGCGCCTGTATCGCCCCATAGCGCCTGTGTTCTATGTAAAAATAAACAACACGGTAATTTATACAATTGTGCGACCTTTCGCAAACATTCACCCAGCGAACTTTATAGAATAGTAAGGACAAACAACTTATGTTTGAATTGTCTAAGCGATAGACATTTTGTTGCTAAATGTAATTCTAGTTCCGTGTGTAACAAGTGCGCCAAAAAACATCACACGTTTTTACATTTCGAAAACAGCAACATATTTGCATCAAGTGAATCAGACAAGGAAATCACACCTACTAAAGTCGACGATGCTAGCGGTCGACCTGGTGATGTCGCTCTGTGCTCATTGTCGAATATGGGAACACAGCCTCCTTCAACCGTGTTACTGGGTAAAGCCCGTATCGTAGTAAGGGATTCGCGTGGAAACGAACAAAGCGTCCGTACATTGCTAGACAACGGATCCCAAAATAGCTTTATAACACGACAATGTTGTCAGCGTTTAGGGCTGCCAATAAATAGGACACCTTCATGTCCCGTAGTCAAAGGCATCGGAGGTACTAATAAAGTTACCCAGGGATATATAAATTTGAAATTTTATTCTCGGATAGATCGTAATGTTAACTTTGATATAAATGCGTTAGTAGTAGATAAAGTCACTGAACGTCTGCTGTCAATCTCTCTGTTCTGGTTTTTGGCGGGAACTTGGCCGTAGACGGATTGTTGCTTAAATAATGGTTTAAAGTGGATTTTGATTCATAAAAGTGATGCGATTTTGTAAACTAAGTATATTCGCGTGTGAACTATTAGAGAAAACGATGAAACAAGTGCTTTGATGTCGATATAAACCTCAAGTTATTTTGATCGCTTGGGCGCCTCATGAACTTGAGTGGCGGTCGTTATCAACTGTCCGCTGGGTTGAGCTGTCGTCAAAATCTCCCAAAGGTTTAGCAATGTTACGCATCAGCATATTGTGAAGAAAAAAAAACATAAAAATGAAAACTCCGAAAGAAATGATTAGCTCAGAAGGGCTAGAACACAGAGCAGTAAAGTCAGTTAATAAAAAAATCTGTCTGTTCTGTTACTGTCACTCTGTGTCTGTCAGTTTACTCAGTATGTTGAAGTTTAATTATTTGTAACTATAATATATTTTTAAAAGGTTACGTACCTACTGTGAGTTCTTTATTGTGATTGCTTGATAAATATTACCTTACTAACACAATTGATTAACTTTTGTTAACCTTTATAATCGGTTCACAATGAGTTCTGGATTTATATCAGAATCTGAAATATTGGAGGCGAGGCGAAAACGCCAGGAAGAATGGGAAAAAGTAAGGACCGAAGATCAACCTAAAGGTGCAGTAAACTACTTATTGTTTTAACATACGTTGCGCATTTTGTAAGTCATGAAATTTCTGGGTAGTATGTTTTGCGATTAGTCACTGTTTCTTGCCTACAAATAATTATGAAAATATTAACAAACTTTTAGAGGCTCCAGAAGAGCCGTATGATACACGACCTCTGTACCACCGTTTGGAGGAGCAAAGATTGAAGAAAGAAGCCGAGTATGAAGAAGCACATAAACTGAGTGAGTTTTTTTTGGTAAAAACCTATAGGGCTGTTTTATCGAAAGTAATAAAGTATCTTTTGTTATAGGCCAGGGAATCAATCAAAAGAGTCTTTATGAGTAAATAGATTAGAGACTTATTTGATGGATAACTTTTATTTGAAAAATATAAATCTTAGATATATAACCATCACTCCAACTGACAGAGAAACCGATGTCTTGAGTTGGTCATCTTCTGTCAACTTCTATGATGGGAAGCATAAAGATTTTTAATGTCTTATTCATACATCATTTTGGGTCAAGCCTCAAGCCTTCGCCCAGCTGATTGGACTATTTTGAGTAAATATTTATTTAATGTTTTCAAATAATTTCAGAAAATATGATCAGAGGTTTGGACGATGATGAAGTTGGTTTTTTGGATCTAGTTGAAAGGACAAAAGCAAAAGCAGCTCAGCAAATATCACTTGAGGAGCAGAAAGAGATGCAGGAGTTCAGGTACGGGTGAAATGAAACTTATCGGCATTAATCTGTATATATTTGCATGATTCTGATTATACTTAAACTAGACTTGCAGCAAATATTTGGTTATTATTTGGTCGATATCGAATACTGAATATTTAGGTACTACTTGGTAGAATACTGAATACTTAAGTATGAGGTTTTATTATAGTCAGGCAATTGGTAAAATGAAAATATTTATTTAAGTTAAAATTTACAGCCTATATACCATCCCACTGTTGGGCCCAGGCCTCTTTTCATTTCTGAGAGGATTTTAGGGCAAGGAAATGTCTGCTGAGCTGCCCAATGCATGTTGGCAGACTTCTTGTCTTCAAAATACTTTTTTTTCTTCTCAGACGTGAAGGTTTCCTCCCAATGTTTTCCTTCACCACTGAGTAGCGAGTGTAGTATATCAGTGCTTAGAATTGCAATTAACAAATTCATTGCTACCGGAGGGGATTGAACCTGGGTTGCTCCCATACAGTTAAATTTACAGCATGCACTTTCCCTTATTATTTTATAATAATTTCTTTCTTGTTATCATAAAGTAGATATAGGTACATAATCATCTTCCATATTATAAAAATAAAAAAAGAACTGTCAGATAATAAATTGAGTCATGTTCATACCCAAACTAAGTAAGAGCGCCTATACAGACCCTATACACTACAGACCCATTAGCCTCACATCCTTTCTCCTACACTATCCTAAATCCATCACTATCCTAAAGATGATGGAGAGGATGTGTGAACGGGAGTTGAGAGGGTCGGCGCTAATTAATTTACCGCTACATGAAAAACAAGAAGCCTATAGCTTAGGTAATTCGATAGAATCGGCACTTCACTACATAATAACAAAGATTGAAGAGGCCATTCGAAACAAAGTAATATGTCTAGGCTCTTTCATAGATATAGAAGGTGCTTTTGACAGAACAAACTTCTCCAGCATAAAAGGTGCACTAAGTAAACATAAAGTTGAACTGGCACTAATTGACTGGATAGTAAACATGCTCAGTACACGAACAATAAAGATTGCTGGTGAATCTCAAACAGGGTGGGGTTCTGTCACCTCTCCTGTGGAATATGGTCATTAATAAACTCATCAGAAAATTCAATACTAATCATTTCTACACAGTAGGTTATGCAGATGATTTGATAATACTGGTCTCTGGAAAGACAGCAAGCATGGTGTGCGACCACACCTGAGTTCCACAAGCAATGGCCTTCTCTGTATAGTGGAGAGCATGGTGCAGAGCCCCAATATGACCTAACCGTTAACGCGTCCAAACAAAACGGTTCTAGTATTGTTCACACAAAAATGAATGCTGAATAATTATCATCTCCCAAGTCTTTTCAGCACAAAACTAAAGCTATCCTCTGAGGTAAAATATTTACGTCTTACCTTGGACAGTAAACTTAACTGGAATAAACTCATAGAAAACAAAACCAACAAAGCTAGTATAACTTTCTGGCAATGCAGAAACATGATTGGCAAACAATGGGGTATGACGCCAAAAATTATACTGTGGCTGTACAAAATTGTAATTTGGCCCATGATCACATACGGCTCTCTGGTATGGTGGACCGAAACTAATGAAGCCACCACTATGAGAATGCTTCAGCATTACCAGAGATTGGCATGTATGGCTGCCACGGGCTGCATAAGAACTACACCAATAGCAGCTTTAGAGGCTATACTGGGGCTAACCCCGCTTCATCTACATATATAACAAGAAGCAACTTTAGCTGCCATTAGACTCAAGACCCTAAATCTTTTAAGTAAGAGTAGAGTTCCCCATACAGGTATAATTGATAGAATTTACTCAAAAATTCCTATCTTACAAGCCAAGTACGATAGGATCCCAAAACAATTTGTATTTGATAAGAAGTATAAGATTAGACATGGCTCTTTTAACAAACATTTTTTTACCATAGGTGTTACAGATAGCCCCCTGTGCAGGGCATGCATGGGGGAGGAAGAAACGGCGGCTCACATGTTGCTGACATGTCCGGAGGTCGCTTCATACAGGGATAAACATCTCGGCACGCCGGGATCGCTCCCCGAAGTTGCTTGCAACATCAAAGTACTGTTGAACTTCTTCGGGGAGATTTCATGGATCGAATAGTCACATTATTCCTACCCACACGGAAAATACGTGATTAGACGTGGAGTTGTAGAAAACAGCCCGTCATAAACTAAACTAATAAATCGAATTGACGTAAGTAAAGTGGAAGATAATGGTGCAGAAAGACTAATTTTTCTGCATTTTCGGGCAGTACTTTACTCCTTTTCTTCTCTTGACAATCCCAGCTTCAGATAATAAATGCTGTGAATAAACACTACTTCCTTTCTGGCCAAATACTTTTGCCTAATATATGGTTATTCAGCCAGTAAGCCCATAAAATATTTGGTATTCAGCGTGTGGCCAAATTATACTATTTGTTGTAAGTCTATTTAAAACACATTGTGAGTTGTGATGTTAACGTAAATTATTATTCATAAATGGTTATGAGTATCTTTCCATGTTCATGCGTTTTTCATTACAGTCCTTCAAAAGTTCACTGCTGAACATAGGCTTCCCCCATCTTATGGGAGGGATTTTTGCCATAGCTGACACATGGCAGGTAGGTTGGCAACAGTTTTTTTATTACTTTGAGCTTAAACTGACTTCAAAAAACGAGGTTTCATGAAGAATCGCCTTAACCAATATTATAAATTATTTGAGCCAAGAAATCTCCCTGAAAAAGTTCAACAGTCTTTTGGTGTTTTAAGCAACTTCAGGGAGCGAGCCTCCAGACATGCCAGCAACACGTGGGCCACCGTTTCCTCCTCCCCAATACATGCCCCGCACATTGGCTATTTGTAACACCTATGGTAAATAAATGTTTGTTAAAGGAGCCATGTCCTGTAATAGCACTTGTTGCTATCCCGATCTGTGGCTTGTTCAATCTGAGTAAAAGTTTACTAAATGAATTACTAATTCTGTGGAATCTAGTTACTGGTATTACGAGCTTATGTTTGTTCCTAGTGTTTAAAGTCATACTTATTCTTAAGAAAGCTATTTATGTTTTTATGTACATACATTACATTTTCATAAATATACGATATATATAAAGTCCTCAGGTAGAAAGCCGGACGACTTCCTGCATGTCTTACCAGGTCGTCACTCCATCTAGTGGGGGGTTACCCTACATTTCGCCTACCGGTACGAGGCTGCCACTCGAGAGCCTTTTTTCCACCTGTTGTCGGTTCTTCGAGCTATATCGCCGGCCCATTGCCACTTCAGCTTACTAATCCGCTGGGCTATGTCGGTCACTTTGGTTCTACTGCGGATATTCTCATTTCTAAGTTTATCACGCAGAGAAACTCCGAGCATAGCCCTCTCCATAGCTCGCTGAGCGACTTTGAGCGTCCTCATACGGCCAGCATTGAAGGACCACGTCTCGGTTCCGTAGGTCATCACTGGCAACACGCACTGGTTGTATAACTTAGTTTTCAGGTTTTGAGGTATACCTGACGAGAAGATGCGTCGTAATTTCCCGAACGCTGCCCAGCCGAGTTGAATCCGTCGATTGACGTCTCGGTCGAAGTTGGACTTACCTAGTCGGACTATTTGTCCCAGGTAAACGTACTCGTAACTTCGAGCTTAGTGCTCCCAACAACTACCGGCTTAGGTGTGGCTTAGGTGGACATTAAACATGATCTTTGTTTTATCCATGTTCATCTTTAGACCTATCCGTTGGGAGGCACTATTGAAGTCATTGAGCATAGTGGTGCTTAAGTCCTCCAGCGATAAGGACAATATCGTGGCAAATCGAAGGTATATTGCGATGCCAAAGTTAATATGTTTATTTCCTTAAATTTTTCTCTAAGGGACTCTTTACAATTTAGTTGTTAATCGCCCGAACGGCTCTCTTTTGCAAAACAAATATGACTTCAATATCAGTCGAATTACCCCATAGTAATATTCCATAAGACATTATGCTATGAAAGTAACTAAAATAAACTAATCTAGCTGTCTCAACATTGGTTAGACTTCTAATTTTTCTAATCTTTCTTACAACATATGCCACAGAACTAAGTCTGCCTGCTAATTTAGATATATGGGGGCCCCATTGAAGCTTCGCGTCAATAGTAATACCAAGAAAAACAGTGGTATCCACGAGACTCAACTCTTCCCTATTTAAGAGCACATTGGTATTTGAATGTTTAACATTAGGTATTGTAAATTTAGTACATTTTGTCTTGTTAAACCAATGTACTAGTTTCGATAGAACATTATTTACCAAAATTAATTGACTGTCGATTAAGTTTGAAAATTAAAGACATGCTGCATGGTAGCTGTCTATCAATAAAAATAATAGTAACAGCTACCACCTGTTCTTCTAGAAGCGACTGATTTGCTATAGTGTTTGTCCCCTCAAGACCCGCGAGCGAAGACGTTAGCTTATTTTGGTACTTTATTTTGTTAGTCTTGCGGTGATTTCTTCATGGTGGTGTAGCGGGAATATCGACCTGTAGTGCAAAGCAGATCCATCTATGGTCTCTGAGCGTGAGGCCTCTCTCAACACGTGTCATCCTGCCATGATTAGTTAGATTAGTAGTAGCTGTTCCTGCTGTCGCAAGTGTGAGGTTGATTATTGTGCGACGTTTGTTTATGAAAGTTGATTTAGAACCTGTGTTAAAAATGATAAGGTCGGTGCTAAAGCGATATGCAACTAACACCTTACTCCATACGTAGAGTTTTTCCATTCCCCTGAGGGGATGATGCGCTTTGGAGTCCGTCCCGATCACAGCCTATTATATCTAGTCTTATACCTATTATATCTAGTCCAGTTCTTTCGCAGAAATTCACTAGCCTTACAAGGTCATGAGGGGAAGGTGTATCTTCCTCCGGAATATAGACCGAGGCGACGACTAAGCTTCCCTCCTGTGTATTTTGTATTGCAGCGGCATACGTCTCTGAAACAGAAATCTGTTAATGGTTGTGCACAGATATCTTTAGTAGTATAAATACACGCTCTAGACTTGTTGTCTCAGTGTTGTAGAATAACTTACCTTTTAGGTTGTTTAGGCCTTTGATTTTACCAGCCCTAACCCACAGCTCATGGATTAAGGATGCTATGGCTGTCTGAGCCTCCAACCACCTGCGAAATTGAGCCGACGTAATTTCGCTGTGGTAGAGGTTGGCCTGCACGAGCCTAGTTCTTCGCCTTAACCAATTAAATGATTCTTTTTTATTAAATAGGTTATACTTCTATTAAATAATTAAGTTAAATTTTATTAAGTATATTATATTAAGTTATATTAAATTATTATAATTATATTTTAAAATTCCATCTGTAATGGAAAAATGTAAGGGAAATATTCTAGTTGTTCAAATTTTTTTCAAATTCAAGTATTTTATTTTCAGTAACTTAGTCTATTAATATTAGATGTAGGAACTCCCCTTTAGGCAAATCATCGCCTGTGGTAGGAAGAAGTTGTTATCTTAAACTTGTGTTTTTCCTTAGACCACTCAAAATGTATAAAATTATCAAAGTTTTAGTAAAAAGTGGAACCAATTTTAAAAATAATAATAATTTCCACATAATATCTTTTAAAGTCGGTGCTAAGATAGTGTTCCAAAGAATTACGAATAAAGCCTTAATTTCCAAAGCTAAAATTTGAAAATTTCTTTTCATTAAAAGTTTTATTATAAAACTATCCTTTCCATTTATTACAATTAAGTTTCTGCAAATAGTATGAACTCCATTCATCTCTCGTGATATAAGCTTAAGAGACGTTTTTCTATTTTAATTATGGTCACTACCTTATGCATCAACTTAAATTTATTATAAGTTCAGATCCATAATAAAAATCATTTTCATTTGCAATATTCACTTTTTATGTTTTGTTAGGATTAATAAAACAAAACAAATTGTGTGAAGTTAGCTACACATGTAGGTTAACTTTCATCCTTTGAAACATTTCTTTTTTCTTTGTTATACTTGTTGGGTAGGTAGGTAGAGCCGTGGTAGCTCAGTGGTTAACGCTCGCTGTAAATATAACAGAACGCGAGTAACCCGGGTTCGATCCCCGCCGGCACCAATGAAATTGTTAATTGCAATTTTAAGTGCTGATTTACCACGTGCTCGGCGGTGAAGGAAAACATCGTGAGGAAACCTGCATGTCTGAGGAATAAGAAAAAAAAATATTTCGAAGACATGTGAAGTTCGTCAACACGCATTTGGGCAGCGCGGCGGACACTTCCTTGCCCTAAACCCTCTCAGAAATGAGGGGAGGCCTGAGCCCAGCAGTGGGACGTATATAGGCTGTAACTTTACTTTACTTTTATACTTGTTGGGTTGTAGCAATTTTCCCCTTAATGCTAACCAAGTATAACCTCAAAAGTCTGTTACACATTTTAGGGAGCGTGTATCAAATTTGGCGGAAAGTGAAGAACTAATAAGACTTCGCGCCCAATTGGCCCCTACACGTACCACCACTACGGTGCAGGCACCAAAGAATAAATTGCAAGGGGTGAGAAAAATTTAAATTTTGTATTATTTTCACAAACAACTTGTTCACTCTCTTACTAGGGTGTAGGACTCCTTTTCTGTCTGTCTGTTTAGGTATCACACTCTTGCCTATGTCTGCTGCTAATTAGCAGTGCTTCCACAGCTGTGTTCCGGTCTGAAATGTATTGGCAGTCATTTGCATTTCAAGCTCTGCGGCATTCCATCTTAGTCCTTAAAGGTGACAACCCATTTGTTAGAAGCCCTCTTTGTCAGAAGTTGGCTGAAGATGCCTATGGACTGTCGCTACTCACCATCGGTGACCACTAACTGTGGGTTTTTTTGCTGCCTCAGAAACCTGAAAAAAACTCGGTAAGTTTATCTAAGACTGATGTAGATATTATATATGTGAAGCATTGTAGTTAACATAGACTAAGTTGCTAACACCATTTTTGGATATTAAAGCGTACCGTAAAATATGAGGGGCAAGTTATCGTTGAAAATTTTACAGTATGCAAGAAACCCGTGCTGAATCCCCACAAACAAAGAGGGATGGAATGTGTCACAGCACGTAATTATATCGGCTCTATAAACTTCAGGCGGGAACATATCAAAGCATGCACTGCTATTTGATGGCGGAAATACGTAATAGCACCCACTTGAACACCTACACTGACAGACCTTTAAGCAGAAAAGTAGTCCCACCACCTATGGCTAAAGCCTTTTTTATAGAAGAGGGGGCAAACGAGCATGCGGCTCACCTGATGGTAAGTGACTACCGCCGCCCATGAACAGCCGCAACACCAGGGGAATTGCAGATGCGTTGCCGGCCTTTTAGAAAGTAAGCTCTTTTCTTGAAGGCCCCTAACGTTGTCCGTATCGGTCCGGAAAAGTCGCCGAAGGTAAACTCTTAAACTAAACTTAAAGTCCACTGCTGAACTTAGTTGATACGCTTGGCAAGCAGGTTGGCAAACGCATTTTTATTTTAAGGTGTTTTTAGGAAGACGCTGCTGCCCATATCGCCTCTTACGACACCCACGGGATATGGGCTAGTGGATATATTTACACCGCCACTACACGGTAAACACCATCAGGTAGTCCTACCACCTACTCAATTATTAAACGATTAAATTTCTGCTAGTAAGTAGCGTACTTGTAGCCTGGTAACACTTGCATCGTACTTCACACGAAGAGGCTACAGACGCTTTGTCTCCTTCAATTTTGAGATGGAATGCAGTCTCTAGTTATGTTGGTTTTCTATAATTTTTAAATCGGAACAAACTACGCCACGCGCGGCATAAATATTGGCAATGCAGTATCGCATATACCACACTTTTGACCATAGATAATATACTATTTAGGACATAGATGAGCCACTCTGACAAATGATTAGGTGACGAAATGAAGGAAGTTCCTTCTGTGCTGTTATAGATGGCGTTGAGGTTATAAATTACCGAAAAATACACTAGGGAGCGTTTTCAACTTAGTTCAGTACTATTTCCTACATTTTAGTAAAATTAAAAGAAAATGTCTTTTTAGAAACTAACTAATTTGCTATTCAGTTATCCCGTAAGTAGTGGACCATGAGGAGGGAATTAATATCTAAGAAAAGCATTTAAACTTATTGTCCTAGGTCTTGTAGGTTTGAAGTTATGGTGTTTTTAAATTTAAAATTTTACAAAATCATTTTTTTTGTTATTTTTTGTTCTAGGTAGTCAATCATACATTGGGTTTCCTAATTAAAATGATATTCGAAAGTAATTATTAGCAGCATGAAAATTAAACAACAAAACGTGTGCAATTTTTACATTTGAAAATGTTCCAAATGATATTTGAACGAAGCTGGTGTAAAAAAATTATTGTAGCCTTGTGGAACATTATTTTAAAAACATCTACATCTCATACCAATTTCAAAAAGGTGTGGTTTCACTGTGAATTAAAAGTAGTAGTTTTTCTTTTTTAATCAATATTGAATTGAATGGAAATTATTGAAAATATTATAAATTCGCGTACGGTTTTAAAGCTTACAAATCTTCAGGTAATTAACCTATTATGTGAATTATTTTGTATTGTTTCCGACCAATAATAGACGAATTTTTAACGCAGAGCTCCTTCAGTGACTTGCTTACAGCTCGGAACTACACCCGTGTTTCTAGATCCTATTACGATTATCATTCTTTGTGAAGTGCGCTTGACCTCGTTTTTGTTTCTGATTTGGATATTGTTGGTCTTGGCTTATAAAACAAAAGCCAGTATCAGAATCCTCGGCGTCGACATATCTAGTGACGTGCAGTTTCGTGGTCACTTGGAAGAGAAGGCTAAATTGGCCTCTAAAAAGCTTGGCGTGCTCAGCAGAGCGGGACAGTATTTCATGTCGGCACACCGCCTGCAACTTTACAGACGCAGGTTCGGCCGTACATGGAATACTGTCCCATCTCTGGGCTGGGGCTCCCCAGTGCCAGCTCCTTCCACTAGACCGCATCCAGCGCAGAGCGGCTCGAACGTGGACCGTTTTCCGATCGGCTCGATTCACTGGCGCAGCGAAGAGATGTTGCATCTCTTTGCCTATTTTATCGCATCTACCACGGGGAGTGCTCTGAAAAATTGTTAGAATTAATCCCAGCCGCCAAATTTCATAAACGCACATCGCGGCAAAACTCCAGATACCATCCACACCACCTAGATGCTTGGCGATCCACCACTGTACGTTTCACTAAGAGTTTTCTTCCGCGTACGACCTCTCTGTGGAATAGTTTACCACCGGTGATTTTTCCGGACCGATATGACCTAGGGACCTTTAAGAAAAGACCTTACTCCTTTCTAAAAGGCAGGCAACGCACCAGTAATTCCCCTGGCGTTGCATTGGTTCATGGGCGGCGGTAGTCACTTAATATCAGGTGATGCCGTATGCTCGTTTGCCCCCTCTTCTATAAAAAAAAATGCCCCGCACTCCCCGTGAATATGCGGAAATATTTTTTATTTACTCTGTGGTGGGAATGCTCGGCAACCTGCACGTATATATCGTTAGCGCTTAGGGATCGCTATCCCGATCACCGAATTTCTCTCTGGGTCAATAACGCCTACTTAGAAGGTCGTATTCTTGGAGATAGAAATTCTGAAGGAAGGCCTAGGACAGTGGATGAACGTCAGGTACTGGCAGAAGTAGAAGATCCTTCCACTAGTACTCGCCATATTTCTAGACGAAATGGTATAGCTAGAAGCTTTTACAGCCGTATCATACGACGAGTACAAGCGCTGTTACCTGCTGATTATCAGTGACGAATAGATTTCTGTCGAGAGATACCGCATCGATGCCGACAAGATCAAAACATTTTTAAAGTCCATATTATGGAGTGAAGAATCATGTTTTAAAGAACTGAAGTGTTTAACACGCATAACTTTTATCGTTGGAGTGTCGTGAATCCCCGAATAGTCAGAGAAGATCGATTCCGGTTACAATTTGTATTGAATTTGTGGACAAGAATACCGGGTGGCAGCGTTATCGGTCTATTTGAATAGCCGCCGAGACTTAGACGCTCGTTATATCCAATTTTTGAGACACGTTCTTGTAAATTTATTAGCAGACATACCACCGAGTAGTCCACGAGAGAATGTGGTTGTAGCACGACGGTGCATCCGCCCACTGTTCACGACAAATGACTTTTGAAAGAGGCATACCCAACCCTTGGATTGGACGCAGAGCTTCTATTTCATGGCCACTGACGGTCATCACGGTCCCGACTTGAATCCTTTGGATTATTTTTTATAAGGTTACTTCAAAGAAGCAGTTTATGAGAATAATATTTCTGATGAAAGAGAGTTACTACAATAGTTAAATCATGTGGGTGATGTAAAAAAAATGAACGGGATAGAAGAAGTATGCAAAGAAACTTTATACGAAGATGTTGGTTATGCATAAGAGTTAGAGAAAGGCATTTTGAGCATTTATTGTAATAAATATAACATAAAATATTGTAATAAAAACTTTTCCCTAAATATCTATTCATACAAAAATGTCCTTTGCTATTGATATTGATTAAAAAAGAAAAACTACTACTTTTAATCCACAGTGAAACCACACCTTTTTGAAATTAGTTTGAGATGTAGATGCTCCACACGGCTATAATACATTTATATACCAGCTTCGTTCAAATATCACTTGCACATGTTTTATTGTTTAATTTTCATGTTGCTGAATTTCATTTTAATCAGGAAGTCCAATGTATGCTTAACTACCTAGAACAAAAAATTGGTAGTAGATTTTGAAAAATAAAAATTAAATTTTGAGTACATTATACGACAATTTCGTCTTAATATTTAAAAAAAAAACCATAACTTCAAAACTTTTGAACTTACGGTTTTTTTTGAGTGAAAAGTTTTCACTGCCTTCTCTGAACATTTGTCCTCTGCAGGGAATTCATTCATTCACCACTACCGGCGGCATTAGCAGAAATATGCCGCAGTTAACCTTTTAAACTCATTCAAACACAACTTTTTATTTTATCACAAAACAATATTAGCACTTTATACTAATCTCATAGATCTAACTTATATTTTAAAATAACATAATCAGCCATTTTTTTTTTTTTTTTGTTGGTTATACTTTTGTATAGTATAGTAATATCAAATTAAAGCGAGCTACTGAGGACTTTCATACCCCTGCCTTTGACTTTGTTCCAAAAAATGTAATGCTTATGAATATTTATGTAAGCAAGCCCCGATAATGTATTTATGTACTTTCAGGTCGTTGTGAGAAAGCGGAAAGCGAGTGAAATGGAATGTGACAAATCCGAACCTTCTGAGAAAGCTGTTTCTCCTCCCAAGAATGGGGTAGTCAACAAGTGAGTAAACTTTTACATCGAACTGATCGTGATTTTTAGCCACTGATTTGTTTTTAGATTCGAAAAAGAAAACCACCAAAAATATTTTTTTTATGGAATAAAGGTGCAGTCCATGTGATGGTAAGCGGATGCTGTGACCCATAGATCATGGTATTTTGTGAGAGTATGGTCCTTCCCCGGTCGAGCTGACCCTTTCGTGTTACTATATTATAGCAGCAGCATGGCTCTACCAAGTAAAAAATGTTATAAAAGTATAGAATCTTTGTCTCTAAAATACCAGAATGGTAACAGGAACTAGTCTCAGCACAACTGATCGGTAGTTAGTTCATTGTTGGCAATTATCATCTGAAATTTTATTGTTTGTTTAACAAATTTACAATATTGGATGTATTTAAAATCTTTATACGATAACATCTCGAGCGTTTGTAAAGCATCTGCATTTTGATTGTTATTCGAGAATAGATAGATGTATATGTATGTCATTGACCCACGGCATCCACTTAACATAAAATGGACTATGTGCTTGTTATTTATCAGCTTTATTCTATAAAAAATCAGGACAGAATGTCGAAATTGCAATGTAATTTCTTTATTTTATACCACACAGCACATTTTATTGACCATATCGGTCTTCACCAACTAAAAGTGATTTATTTACATCATGATGTGTAGAAATAAAAATAAACTCTTTAAAGAATTTGATTGATTGCATAATATTATTTTATTTATTATTTAAGTTTATAGAAACTGTAACGTATTCCAGTGTCGCCGACATAAACTCGTGAGCTCAAAAACTACACTTGTTATTTTTTTTAAGTGTGTGACCTGCCATTGCAGTGCGCGCTCATGAATCGTATATACAGGATGTTATTTTAAAGCGTTAGGTTTTCTGCATCAGTGATTATAGTATTTGTTTCATTGGTACTCAGTAGTCGCTTATTGTAACCATTAAGTTATATAGTTGATATTGAAAAGTACGTACCCACACATAATTTTTGCAACAAATTCAAGCTACTCTTTTACTTTCAGTGGAGTCCAGCAGAACGGTGAAGTAGAGACGGCATCGACAGGAAACATGGGGGACTTGGGTGCCTTACGATGTGTCGGTATCTTGCCTGGTCTCGGGCACTATGACACTGACACTTCGAGTGACACCGACGACTCTAGCGATCTTGAAAGTGTGAGTGACTGAATTTTAGACTATTTTAATAATGTGTGTAATGTGCGTTGAATTTTTTTTATATTATAGTAATTAATGTTAAGTCTAATATTTTTTGTTGAAAGTAAACATATTTTGATTTGTTATGGTATTTATATTATCCCATACCCAATCCTTGAAGAAATTATACGGTATCCCTACTCCCTACATGTAAATTATACTTGCTAGAACTGACTGCCTCGCTGGTCTAGTGGTTGTCGTAGTGCGACTGCTTATCATGAGGTCCTGGGTTCGAATCAAAAAAAAAAAACTAATCATTGAATTTTTCCGTCAAGAAATTCTCAGTAGTTGCCCGGAGTCCAGGAAGTTGGCGGTGTCTCACCCCCGTGCCTCGGACACGTAAAGCCGTTGGTCCTGCGCCTGATCTCTCTCTGGTCGTGTCGGTTTACTGTCCCATCGGATTATGAAGAGTGAGGGAATAGAGCGAGGACCTAGTGCTTGCGTATACACTTGGGCACTATAATCCTGTCCTGCGCCGATGGCTAGACTCCGTTGAGGAAGGCCGCCGTGGTCGAAGTTCGGTCTGGAGGACATTATTATTATTATTACTTGCTAGAACAATGTAGGTTCCATGGATAGTAAATAAAAGTTAACACTGTCACTATAGCCCATACAAGTTTACTATTGAACATGGACCTTCCCGTACAGATTGTCACAAGTCCATTTGTAAAAGTTAAGGTTTGTTCAAATATCGTCAAGCGAGCGGAAGTAACCGCGTAGTGGCGTTTTCGTGCCGATACTATCCGCACCATGTGGATGCTTGGCGGTCCACCACTGTACGTTTCACAAGGAGTTTTCTTCCGCGTACGACCTCTCTGTGGAATAGTTTACCACCGGCGATTTTTCCGGATCGATACGACCTAGGGACCTTCAAGAATAGAGCTTACTCCTTTCTAAAGGGCCGGCAACGCACCTGCTATTCCCCTGGTATTGCGGTTGATCATGGGCGGCGGTAGTCATTTAACATCAGGTGAGCCACATGCTCGTTTGCCCCCTCTTCTGTAAAAAAGTGGCGGTGTAAGAATATCCACTACTGCATATCGTGGGTGTCGTAACAGGCAACAGAGGGAAACGGAAAGAGTAGATGGGTAGCAGCATCTTCGTAATTACAACTGATATTATAGAAAGATGCTGAGGTTGCCTACCCGCTTGCGCTTGCTCGAGCGTGGCAAGCATAGTAAAATCCCGCTGTGAGCCAACCTATGGGGGAGGCCTATGTTCAGTAGTGGACTTTTATAGACTAATAAATGGATGGCTGGAACAGAGCATGCTATACTCTGCATACAATTACTGCCAGTACACAAGAAGTATGAGCGGACGAGTTGGTCCATTTAAAAATAATATTTTCACATTTAGATTGATTATTCGGCGTACAGGTTTTCTTATTTAAATTTTCATAACTAAAAAAACTTGTCTAATTTTTTTTTACAAGAAGAAATTTTTTTATTCAATTTGTATAGTATACATAAGTACGCTACTTGAGCGGCATTAAAACGTGTGATCGTAGCGAGATATATTGCGTGCTTACTCGCACTTAAATAACTTACGGTAGCTCTTAATAATGTGGACTGTCCAAGTCGTAATTTTTACAAGTCTACAAAACTGAAATAAAATATGATTATTATATAATTTAATTTTCTTTTCTTTGCATTAAATAATAGCCATTCATACATCCATAACAGCCTATCAGGACAACTGCTGTACATAGACCTCTCCCGTGGATTTTTGCCATACTGCCACACTGGGCAAGCGGATTGCCACCTGCCACATTATTTTATTACTTTAAGCTATTATCAGGTAGATACTGCTGTCCCATCCAGTTTCAGTTTGTTAAAAGGGTCAACGAGGTGTGGTGTGGATGTGTGGCCAATTTATATCTTTCGCAGATTTAGATGGAATGCCTCGTTTCCAGTAAAAAAGGGTCTCCGAATCTCTACACTCACCATACGAAACACAGCAGCATTAAGCTGCTATTTTACGCTGGTGTTCTGTGAGAGCGTTGTCCTTCCCCGGTCGAGCCGACTCATTCGATTACTTGGGGTAATGAATATTCTTACACCGTTACCTAATGATTTATAAATATTGTAAAGCGTGAATGTATTTGATAGATCATAACTGTGTACTTTACTAGGTAGGACTCCATCTGGTAAGGTACTACCCTCATACTTGTTTCGATCGCCAAATGGTAGTGTTTGCACTGCTGTGTTCTGGTCTGAAGGGTATAGAGAGCCAGTGCAATAACAGGCTGTGAGGTATTCCATCTTAGTTCTCAGAGGTGACAATGCATATGTAGCCTTCTTTGTTTTAAGATGGCTATAGGTGTCCATTGACTGCAGAAGCCACTAACCTTCTGGTGGACTTTAAGTTAGCTTGTTACCTTAGTTTAATTTAAAAAAAAAACTCAGTCGTACGACCTGCACATCTGAAGTGAAAACTTGTTAGCCTCAACATGTAAACATTATTTTTGGGTTGTTGAGAAATATTTTTTATTAGAAATTATTTTTATCAACATATTAATATAACAAAGTTTTAATTTACTGTACTGTTTTACATGAAAAAGAATGATTATTATCTATTTAATACAAACGAATTTATAAATACATATCAATTTTATAAAAATAATTTTATATACAGGGTGTCCGCCGGCAGATTTTACACTTTATAAAATAAAAGTATTTACATAATCTAAATTATTTATTTATTTTCTTACAAAAGGATAGTGCGGAAATCACTTCTTAAAAATTACTCCACTCAAATGACGTTCTTCTAGTCGCTAACATTCTTGCGGTCTTTCCTTCATATTGGTGAAACTCTTTTGCAAAGTGCTGGACTTAGAACCTGAACTTCGCGGCGGATATTTTCTTGTAAGGCGTTTATTGTTGATGGAGAATTATTGTAAACACGAGACTTGAGATATCCCCAGAGGAAAAAGTCGCAAGGGGTCAGATCTAGAGATCTAGGGGGTCAGGCTACGTCGCCGAATCGACTTATTAATTTTCCAGGAAAAAGCCCTCTCACTTTAATCATTGACTCCCGGGTGGTGTGTGCTGTGGCCCCATCCTGCTGAAAGTGAGTTCTGTTATTGTAGCCGACGTGACGATGCAGCTCGGGTATAAAAAATATCCAACATAGCGCGGTACCGCTCTGCGGTAACAGTTTCACCTCTGTTAAAAAAATACGGGCCAATTATGCCATTTCCAGAAATGGCGCACCAAACCGTGGTCTTCGGGCTGTGTAGAGGTTTTTGATGGACTTCATTTGGGTTGCTCTCACTCCAATATCGCATGTTCTGTTTATTGACATACCCTCCAAGGTGAAAATGCGTCTCGTCACTAAAAAAGATGTTAAACATACGCGTAGGCGTAGAAAATCGTTCCAAAAACAGTCTTCCGTAAGTCGGCCTCTTTACGTAGTCATCTTCTTTTAATTGCTAGATAATTTGAAGCTTGTATGGATGGAACTTCATCGTTTTTCGAATTATTTTGTGAACCGACGTCTTTTTCACACCTGTTGCAGCTGCAATCTTCCGGATAGATTTGCGAGGATTTCGCAAAATTTCCCTTCTCACAAGCTCTGTGTTTTCAGGCGTAGTTACAGACGTTGAAGGTCCAGGCCGAGGCTCATTTATGACTGATCCAGTTTCTCTGAACTTCTTGACCCACGCCCACATCAGTTGATTCGACGGACCATCCTTTAATCGGCGGATACCGAAGTGAGAATTAAAAGAACGCCTCGCCACATTGATCGAATTGTTGTTCGCAAAATAGGCCTCGACAGCGAAAGCGCGATGCGCTCCCGTCCACTGACTCTAGCTACTAAACAACCCGCAACACTCCCGCGTCGTACGATACCCCGCACCCTCGCCACCGCCTTGCTGCACGCTGTGAGCTCGATGCAAAGTGTAAAATCTGCCGGCGAACACCCCTTATCAGAGTGTGACGGTCACGTGAATTCTGTGCTTTTTCCCCATCCCAAAAGTGTCCAAAGTGCCTAAAGAAATTTTCACTTAAAAAATAAGTAGCGTTAATAAATTTATAAATATTTTAATATTTTATAATATTTTACATGAGTCTTGCTATTGTAGTAAGTACGCTCGTGAGCTAGAGTCACTTACCACGGATTTATTATGATTTGTGACTGCCAGCAGCGGGTAAATGAGTTTAGTATAAAGCCTTCAATTATATATTATTTTTTTTAAATGCCATTGTTTTTAATAATAGTTAACTGTTTACCGATTTTTGTAACTTTTCATTTTATATTGATTAAAGGGGTTTATTCTCTGTAATTTCGACCAGATTCAATGATAATTCGATGTCTGTTTCTATTTTTTATAATTTTCTAATAAATTAATTTTCATCATCACCATTACGTTTACAGCCTATCAATGTCCACTGATGAAAATAGGCCTGTCGATAGATGCATCATATGGGGCTGGTTCCACAGTGGCCGCACTGGTTTTTATTTTTTGTTTCGCAGTTTTGTTTATTTATGAGTTGTTATCAGGAAGATGCTGCCCAGTCCTGATTATTTTTTTATAGAATAAGGGTGACAAACGAACACACAGTTCACCTGTATATAATGTGATGGTAAGTGGATGCTGTGGCCCATAGATATCTACATTTATCCTTGATTAAGAATGAAAACGCAGATGCGTTTTCACCCGTGAGGACTAAGATGGAATGCCTCGTTTCCAGTAAAAAGGGTCGCCGGTTCTCTACACTCACCATACGAAACACAGCAGTATTAAGCTGCTATTTTACGCTGGTATTCTGTTATATTGTATGGTGTTGTGTGGGCATTCCCCGGTCGAGCCGACCCATTCGTGCTTCAACCATAAAATAGCTGCAGCGTGGCTCAACTACGTATGAAATAATTGCACGGAAGTTTAACCTATTCGGTTATTTTTTAATCGTTTATACGTTACGAGTATTATATATTGTATTGTAGTGCTCAATATGAACCACAAACTTTAATAAAAGCTGTCCTTACTCAACTAAATTCAAATTAACCCAAGGAAAATCAACCTTTAATCTTATATCCACCTTTGAAATACATTTTCTGTATGTATTATTTATTTTGTTAATATTTTCAGAGTGATAAATGCTGCGTTAAAAGGGATCTTCTGGGTCGCAGACCGGATCAAACGGCGGAAGGAAAACAAAAGGAGGAATCGAAGAGTTAAACTTATTTGTCATCTGAATTTGTACCTTATTTACACGTTACTAAAGTCTAAAATACAGATGTCTATGTTATTGAATGTAGTGGCATTATAGACCTCATGTATATCGTGTTTAAGATTATTTGTTTAAAATCATTTGAATAAGTATATATGACTTTCTGTGACAATTAGTTGTAAATGGATATTGAATATTGTACGTATTTCGTTCCGAAAAAATGTTTTAGCATAATAATTAATTGAAGTGGTCACTCAGTTTATTGCGTAATTTACAAACGTCCCACGCGTGGACAGAGAACGGCGATACACGAGTGGGCTATAAAGCAGGATACAGTCCACGCTTTGCCACTTTTTGTGCTCGACTTTTTTAAACATGTTGGTACCATCACGGTTTCCTTTGCTGTGCATTTGGTGAATCAGCACTTAAAAGGATATCTGGGATCGAACGCGGATCTTTCATGTACTAAAAATTAAAGTAGTATTCAGTTTGACCTGTCAAACTCTGATCTGATCTGTCAAAATCTGTTTGGTCTGTCAAAGATGCTATCGCTTTTTAGATATGTGGTGCAGATGTTTTATCTCACGATGGCGGGTTAGTTTTAGTAGTTGTGAGTGTTGAAACTCAAGGTAAATTTTTATCGAGTACAGTCAATATGAAAAAGAAGACATTTAAATTTATATCATTATTTAATTTCTCACTATTATCTATTATAATTATTTGTAATGGACTTGTTATATTTGTTTTAAATTATACTAGCGACTTACCCTGTATTCGCCGAGAAGGATTTATTAACGTGTCGTCATTTAGATTTAAAATAAGCTATTACTTCATTTATATAACAGTTGTTTCTATATGACAGACAGACACTTCAATTTTATTTATATGAATGTCTTTATTTTCATCACGCCATGACTGAAAAAGAGCAAGAGAAGGGTATACAAAACGTCAAAAGTCCTTAAAATAATACTTAGTGATGTAAGAAAACAAGTGAATTTTTTTAAAAATTTTTACTTCTTTTTTTCATGTTCTTGCATTGTCATCCGAATTTGAGCTATATTCAAAATTTCAAGTTTCCAGCTCATCTGGAAGTTAGTTTAAAATCAATCAGTAAATTCCACCCGGACGACAGACAAACAAGAAAGTGACATAATATTATACACGTGGTAATAACCGCGTCTTTTGTTAAGCAGCAGACCATTAAAATTTGATTATAGCAGCGTTTTCCTAATGACAATAAAAATTAAAAAACTGCGGTTGGCATTCCGCCTGCCAAGTGCAACTATGGCAAAGGTTTCTAATATGCAAATTTTTTTATGTATAGTTTCTTGAAACTTCACACCGTATGAGTCCATGGTCTAATAAAAAAGAAAGGCTCGCCCGCCTTCGTAAGATATAACATCTTTAACTATTATTATAAATACCTTCACTGTGGGAAGTTATTTGAGAAATTGTTTAACAAAAATGTGTAGCGTGTCGAAGCCGTACGAGACTGGTTGTTGATATATAGTCTGTTCGCTCAGACAGTGTCGGTACACCCGGAGGCGCACTATTTTTTTTTGCTTTTATTTCATTATTTTTTACTGTGTTTGTTAAATAAATGTTTTTCTATTCAAAGAATAAAATAGTATTCCAATCTATTCTTATGGTTATTGTAATAAAATACGAATATAAATAATAAATACAAGTTAGGTAGCAAAGAACCTTTCACTACGGTGCTTCGTTTTAAAATGCCAAATTCCCCTGCGCGTGTACTTCGCACGCGACGACCTTTGATGTTGCGGCACGTGCCAACACAGCGCGACGTAAAGGCGACCCTATCTAAGCGAACAGACTATAGATTTAGTTATCATGGATAGATCACAACTCCATCTGGTGTTTAACATACAATACAATATCATCTGTTTAAAATGTTCACCCTATGTAAATATATAATATTCCTTTAATAAGTAAAGAATGTTTGAATTCCAACCTAAAACCAGTATGTAGCTATATAATTTCGAATCACCTATTTATTTTATTGTAAAAATGGTTTTGATATTTTTATCTTATTCTCTTTATACATGGTAGAGCCACGCTGCAGCTATATTATGGTTGTAGCACGGATGGGTCGGTTTGACCGGGGTAGGACCACGCCTTCACAGAATACCAGCGTAAAATAGCAGCTTAATACTATGGCCCGTATACATCTTCATCTATGTTTGATTAAAATAAAAAAAAGCAGATAAGTGCGTTGTCACCCCTTAGGACTAAGATGGAATGTCTCGTTTCCAGTAAGAAGGTGGTTCTCCACACTTAACCTACGAAACACAGTTGCTTTAAGCTGCTCTTTTACGCTGGTGTTCTGTGAGAGCGTGGTCTTTCCCCGGTCGAGCCGACCCATTTGTCCTAACTCTTATCACGTAATAGCAGTGCATGCACTGCTATTTAGCGGCAGGAATAGGTATGAGTGTGATACCTATCCTAAAGGAGTTCTATCACCTGGAAGCCCACCTAATCTAACTCCTTTTTCAAAGGCCTATATCAATTCTATTGGTAGGTACTTGTGGAATGTTATCCCACTTTCCTTTTGGTGACGAGTTTTAGACAAAGACGAGACAAATTACGCACACTCATTATTACTAAAAATAAATCTATAACTAAAATCAAACATATACAAACTACACAAAATATTTTCATGTTTTCGTTTAAAATTAAACAACACAACAGACTGGCATATTATGTCAAATTTAGTTCGAGAACGATGGCTGCTGTTCTAATCGGCACAAACATTTTGTAAGGTATAGCCAGTCCAGCCACAGAATAAATAATAGTGCTACGTACAGAAGTTACTCTTTTTTTGATGTTGACTGCTTGCCGACTTTTAATAGCCTACATAATTATTATTAATTGGATAAATTGCGAACGCAAGTTAAATAAAACTTTATCGCTGCGCGCGAGTGTCCATATTACTTTGCATCTTTTCCCCTTCTTAAGTCACAAAGTAAAAAAAAACATTGCAATTATCGCTGCGCGCGAGTGTCCATATTACTTTGCATCTTTTCCCCTTCTAAGTCACAAAGTAAAAAAAAACATTGCAAAATGTTAAGTATGTTACTTAGGTGAAGTACCTATTTTGAATATGTTCGACTGACCATATTTTCACACTAGCTCACTAACTCACATAGGAGTTCTACGATGTCCAACGCATGCAACTTGCAAGGCCATTCGTCGGGAACCGCCATGCTTGGCTCGGAAGAAACATCAAATAAACTTCAAATATGATTTATAACATTCGTATTCTACTTTAAAAAAAATCTTGTTAGGAGATAAAGTTTTATTTTCAGTATATTGTGTAATTATAACATAAAATATTTAATAACAAAAGACAAGTATAGGTATGTAAGTAAACACTTAGATAGTGAAGTAAATTTCAACCAAATTTTGTAATAAAGTTCGTAGATATTAGATAAATTAATACTTAATTCTTTTTTGCTTTAAGTACCTATCTAACAATAAAAATTAAATAAATTCACGTTTCATAACTTCCTGCTAAAATTCTTCGGTAATTAAAGAATGATATATCTGAAACATTTTGTTGGTCATTTAGCGTCTATCCACGCAACAATTAAAGTAGGAACGACGTTTTACCATATTAAAATTTATTAAATAAATGGGTAATATAATATGGTATTTAAATTTATCAAATAACTGGTAATATAATATATATATAATTTTTAAATTACATTAAAACTTTGTATTTACAAAATTTAATTACGTAAACAGCGTTAAAAAACATTCAATCGCCTACAACGCGCTAGCCCCGACTGCGTATTTCACCCTGAGAGCGTCGCGATTTCAGGTAATTATTTCACACAAGTAGCAAGCCTGACAGAGGCCTGTCACTGGGCAGTAGTGCTAAACCGTCCGAGATCGTAGTGGTACGCACGGAGCGCAGGTCGCGCAGGCAATAACCGCGCTCGTGGATCATGGCCTCTGTCAATGCCACTCGCTCCAGCTCCGCTGCGCCGGCGACTCGTCGAGACCTCCCCTCCCTGTACCTACCCACCGATAGCACATAATAAATAATAGTACTAGGTACAGAAGTTACACTCTTGATGTTGACTGCTTGCCGACGTTTAATAGCCTACATAATTATTATTAATTAGATTAATCGCGCTCGCAAGCTAAATAAAACTTTATCGCTGCGCGAGTGTCCGTATTACTTTGCATTTCCCCTTCGTACGTTACAAACGCGCAACAACTTACGTCGCAAAACATCATTTAGCGATGTAAGATTCTTAAAACTTTTAAAGTCTCGGATCACATAAACATGGCTCTGTTTTGCAGAATATCAAAATATGTAACAACTTTCTTATTGTTCCGCTCCGTTATAGCCATACGTCCGACCCCGTCTCGTTCTAGTTAGCGTGACCCGGCCAATTACGAAGGGATGTGAATAAAGAGTAACAAAATACATTGCCAAATGTTAAGTTACTTAGGTGAAATATATATTCTGACTATGATCGACTAACCATATTTTCGCACCTATGTGAGTTCTGCGATGCCTAACGCATGCACCTTGCAAGGCCATTCGTCAGGAATCGCGATGCTTTGCTCGGAAGGAAAAGAACAAATAAACTTGAAATACGATTCCTAACAGAAATTAATCGTATTCTACTTAGTTAAAAATTAATTTAGTAAACAAAGTTTTAATTTCAGTGTTTTGTGTTATTATAACTTAAACGTAAATAAAACATAAACACTCACGCCAGTCCCCAGATGGGTAGACAGATACTACAGACCTTCATTTGGCACGATCCTGACACACCTCTCTCGGTCTCCTTCACGTCCATGTACCTACGCATACATGCTCGTCGGTTAAGAGTACTCCTAATTTGGCCCGTTTTTAATAAATCGTTAATATAACTTAAAATATTTTAAATACAAAAGACAAGTATAGGTATGTAAGTAGATACTTGAATAGTGAAGTAAATTTCAACTCAAACTGGTATAAGGTTCGTAGGTATTAGATAAATTATTACTCAATTCTTTTTTGCTATAAGTACCTACCTATCTAACAATAAAAATTAAATGAATTCACGTTTCATAACTTCCTACTAAAATCCTTCGGTAACTTAAAAATGATATATCTGAAAAATTTTGTTGGTCATTTAGCGTCTATCCACGCAACAATTAGGTATAGTAGGAACGACGTTTTGTCATATTAAAATTTATTAAATAAATGGGTAATATAATATATATAATTTTTAAATGACATTAAAACTTTGTATTTACAAAAAATATTTAACATTTAATCGCCTACAATGCGCTAGCCCCGACTGCGTATTTCATCGTAGGTGCGTCGCAATTTTAGGTAATTATTTCACGCAGATAGCAAGAGTGACAGAGGCCTGGTCCAGTATGGTCATTGGGCATAGATGAGCCATTCTGACAAATTATTAGGTAACGAAACGAGGGAAGTTTCTTCGACGCTGTTGATGGAAAAAAAAAAAATAAAATGTGTAAATTAGTGGGGAAAATAATGCTTTTACTGTGAGATGGCGTTAGTATCAACGTAAAAACATGCTACTGAGGAATTTTAAACCCCTGGTTATGACACCCACGGGATGATATGGGGTGATGGATTCATTTACGCCATCACCTCACGGCAACATGTAACGTTATAGCAGAAATAAAACCAGTTTTATACGTGGTAGAACTACACTGCAGCTATATTATGGTTGTAGCACCAATGGGTCGTTTTGACTACGAAGGGCCACGCTCTCACAGCATATCAATGTAAAATAGCAGCTCAATGTTGCTGTGGTTCTTATGGTGAGTGGAGAACCGGAGATCCTTCCTACTCGAAACGAGGCATTCCATCTTAGTCCTCAGGGGTGACAACGCATCTAAATTTTTGATTCCTAATCGAGGGTACATGTAAATATCTATAAGACACAGAATACATTTACAATCAGGTTGTATGTGTGCTCATCTGTCAGCCTTATTCTTTGAATAAAATAAAGTTTGTGTATTCCAAAAACATTTTATTTCGTTACAAAACAAATGTTTAAGCCAATGTCAAATAATGTACATTTTCTTCTGCTATGTGTCTGTCTTGTATTGGTTGGATGGCTTGCAGCTCGTTAGCATTCTCCGTTGCTAGTAGTACTTCTGGTCTTTGTTGAGATCGAATTTCTGGTCCTGATTCGGACTGCTTCAGTATTGACTCTGTGGACTGTGCGTTATTCAAATCAGGTTCAGGTGAACTGTTGTCAGATTCATCTGATGTTTCTTCTATATCTACGATGTCCTGCGTTTCTGCCATTTTCTTCGTTCTGTTCCTGTTGATTTGTTTTAATTTAGGTCTAAGTTATTTATCATTTTGGAATATTGCAAATGTAAATAAATTGGAATTCTATAAATGTGTTTTAGAGAGATTTCTAATATGGCTATTTTTCTGAGTGCTCACAACTACGGAGGTAATATGTACTCGTAGAACTAGTTTTGAAAAACGGGTGCACAGTTCACCTGACGGAGAGTGAATGCTGTAGCCCATAGATGCCCACTTTCACCATCGTTTTAGAATCAAAATGTAAATGCGTTGTCACGCCTGATGACTAAGATAAGAGGAAATGCCTGAGTAAAAATGGTTTCCGATTCTCAACACTAACAACACAAGAAACAAAACAAAGCGGCATGAGCTGCTGGTATACTGTGAGCGCATGGTTCTTTCTCTTTAAAACGAGTGGTTGACAATGCATATGCATTCTGATTCCTGATTGATTTAGGGGTGTAGACTAAGTTAGGTTAAATTTAGACGAAGTTCGTTTATCTACTCAGTTTTACATCGTATTATAAAAAAAGTTACAAGCAAAATTTAGCGCTGAATACTGAAAACTTAGCAAAATTTAGCGCTGAAGACTTTTATTACCGAGAAGGTAATTTTTTTTTATAGGATAGGGTGACAAACGAGCACACAGTCCACCTGATGGTAAGTGGTTGCTATGGCCCATAGACATCTACATCTATCCTCGATTACGAATCAAAATGCAGATGCGTTGTCACCCGTGAGGACTAAGATGGAATGCCTCGTTTCCAGTAAAAAGGGTCTCCGGTTCTCTACACTCACCATACGAAATACAGCAGCATTAAGCTACTATTTCACGCTGGTATTCTGTGAGAGCGTGGTCCTTCCCCGGTCGAGCCGACCCATTCGTGCTACAACTATACTACTAATATAACTGCTGCTAATTTTACAAACAAAAGGTCGAAAATGTGAATTTTCACATACCGTTTGGGATAAGGTTGTTTGAGATGGAACGTACGGTAGTGCAACTTCATACTGTTGCTTTGTGTGAAGCGTTTATCGCAAAGAGGGCACGCGAATCGCTTTTCACCAGTGTGAGTCTGAAAAAAACAGAAATAATTTGATTTTCAAAAATATCTTTTCTACCATGAATTTTTTAATATTCTTATGTTGTTATCCGATTTTAAACGATGGTCTAAATTTTAAACTCATCGGAAAGTTAGGTTAAAATCAATTACTACATTCGACCCGAACAGACATACACGAAAGCGAGTTAATAAAATACAAAACTATTAAGTGTATTAAAAGTATTTTATATAGAAAAGTGGTTATCACAGGGTTACATTATGGGGCCATTACTGTTTCTTCTATATGAAAATGTCTATAGGCTTTGTGATGAGATTGCAGTTATTTTTAATGTTTGGAATTAATCATAAAGTACAATTATTTTACAGTACGTCAAAAATGGTAAAAAGGTAACTTGTTGACTAGACTCACTATATGGCTGGTCTCCTTTACTGCTTAGGATCTGTCTGGTTACCTATTTCCGCTGCCAAACAGCAGTGAATTCACTGCTAAGTTCCGGTCTGAAAGGATAGCCACTATAATTATAGGCTATGAGGTATTCCATCTAAGTCCTCACAGGTGAAAACGCATCTGTAGCCTATGGGCCGCAGTAGTCACTTAACATCAGGTGGACTATGAGTCCGTTTGTCACTTTATTTTTTAAATAAAAATTGTGACTGTCTGTATATTGAAGTAACTGCCTTCCATTAAACTCAGAGGTTACTTGCACGCTATTAAGATATAAATATCCACATATTAAAAGTTTGACTGTCTGTCTGACTGTCCGGGATAATCTTCAGAATGGCTGAACCAGCTGTGATGAAACTTTATAAACGGATAGAGAGCGATGTCAGGAGAGATCTAGGCTAATGCTAGGTTATATTTTATCTTAAAATATGGTCTTTGATTATCTCAAATCTAAATTTAATAGTACTCATCTGACTGAACCCGGCACTAGTCGCTAGTCACAAATATAAGTTTTTATCTTCTTATTGAAATATTTTATGTTGTTCATAAATATCACATACCAATAATAACTTACCACGAGATGTCTCTTCAGACTGATGCTGGAGTAAAACTCCTTCCCACAAGTTTCGCACGCATGAATAGTTGTTCTTGTGTGCATATTTTGATGTGTTAGCACGCTACCTGGCTGAAAATATTTACGGATTGTACGATGAAATAGGTACATTTTTTTACTTAATTCAAGGTTTATTCGATCAGTGCAATACAGGCATTTATATAATAATTTCATTAAACTTGTAGTACATACAAAAAATCTTACATAGAATGTAAGATTTTTGTAGCAATAAAGTTAGGTAAAACACTATTGAGGCTGATGATTTTTCTACATAATATATCAAGCGTTCTTTTATAATTAAAATATCATATCAATAATTATAACATGTCGATTTTATATAATTTTCTATCATCTATTATCAAGTATGGGAATTACAACCCACACGGACTGTCATTATGTCGTAACTTACTTTTATATCGAAGTAACTATACGTAAAGTACGTCCAACGAGAAAAACCAAATGCAAGGTTATTAGGAATAGCAGGGGTGCGTAAATTTTTGATAGTTATATATTTAAGTAGACAATATAGTTTTAAAAAATGTCTAACAAACCAAAAAAGTAGACTTTTTAGACATTTTGTCATAATTTGAATTATTGTATAATGTAGATTTAAATTAAATAACAATAATAATAATAATGTTTCTGAATATCGCTTGCCTAACAACTGTGTGCCCGGTGTATGGTAACAGGCTTACCCCCTGTTACATAGGGACATAAATATATCAGTCAAAATGTGGGTGTAAGTAAATATCTCTGCCTACCCATTAGGGGATACAGGACTGATGATATGTTATGTTACGTTTATAGAAATGAGAATAAAAATATTTTTTTGAGGAAATCATTGTTTATTCAGTCAGACGCCGATTCTTCTGAGTGCAGAGTCAGAATCAGTCTGTAACACGTAATAAATTTATCCGTCACGTCATCCATCATAAAATCAAGTTTGAAAAACTTATCTTCTTCTTTTTGAACATGCTCCACACATTTCTTCCACCGATCAGGTTTGACTTTCGCCATACCGTCACTTAATAATGCCTTAATTTTTCAAATTTAAACGTAGTATTGTTTCTCAACAAAACAAAATAACAATAATTAAATAAACAAAAAATAACAAATTTAAAAAAATTACTTGTCACCACGAGCGTGATCCGAAACGGAATGAATCACTATTATTACTAAAATAGTCTCCCAAATGTTGGCGAACCAGTCTTGACCCTGACATGTTTTTGCCGGGAAAACGTGACCTTATGACAAATACACAAGATGCAAAGAGGTAGATAATAGATTTTCAACTCCACAGTCGTTTTTAAGGTACCTTTCGTATCGCTGCTAGTTGGCCGTACGTTAGGTATATTTGTAGTTCCTTTTATATTACTATATTCCCTATTTATATGACTATAGTTTGTTTGTTGTATTTGCAGTATCACTAGTGGCTTAAGAAAATCTACCATCAAATATTATCTCGTGGGAGTTGTAAAAGCCTATGGATAGTTATAGCAAGATTTCACGATTTCCGATATATGGGGGTATTACCATACAGTAAAATAATTAGTGGCTTTAATAATATATCATTGGCGGGTAGTGGCAGCACAAGGGAATCCACTACCCCATATAATCCCGTGGGATGACGCTAGAGGCGACAGAGGGAACCTGAAACAAACAAACAACATTGGGCAGCACTATCTTCCCGACAACAATAGGAATTGATGAATAGTAATGTAGTCCGTCTCCTGATTTGTTTTCTTCTGCCGCCTCTTACGACACCCACGGGATGATATGGGATAGTGGATATTCTTACAACGCCCATGGGTGTCGTAAAATGCGACAGAGGGAAACAAATCAAGAGTTGGGCAGCAGCGTCGTCTTTATAACAATTAAAAATAAAAACTGCAGCCAACCCCATCGCCAAGCGCGGGCAACTATGGCGAATATCCTTTCTATGAGGCAGTCTATGGGCGTATAGCGTGGAGTTTAATAGACTGCAACGGTAAAGAAATCCGATGTCGGAGAGTTCCACTTATATGAGAGAAGTTACTCACCGCCAATGACGCACCACATATCTCGCAAATGTGGCGCTGGGTGGGCGGGAAGAAAGAAGTCCGCGGGTGTTCCGTTCGGTGATGCTTCATGCAAGCCTTTTGGGTTTTGAAGTGCTTCCCACACTGAAAATGTGTTCCTAAAGAATATTTTCTTAAAATACATTCATATAGCAATACGCCTGTAATCCGAGCTGTTATGACCAAGTTCAGCCAGAAATATGATGGCTTGCCCGTAGCCATAAAAAAGAGATATCATTATCCCATTAGTCATCTCTTACAATGTACTAGGCAAGTAACACAGTTGGCACATTCTTTTTTATTAGTGCCACAAAAAAATGAGTACCTTCGAATTCCAGACCAACATAAGTTTATTTTCTTAAAATAAACTAAAATTATGATATCAATGACAGTCTGTCACCCACCTCATGTGCTATTTTAACTACTGTAAGCCACGGTATAACTTTTCTCGTACCTGATGGTAAGTGGTGATGTAGCCGAAGATGGTAAAAGCAAGTCTAATCACACTGGTGAAGACAGACATTGTAATACGGCACAGATATTCAAACATAGCACCTGGTTTAAGCTTATAAGAACCCGGTTGACCGAGCTTTGCTCGGTATTTTTCGCTCGGTTTTTTTTAATTCGTGTGTTTTGGAAATTATATTTAGATACAAATTACATACTGATGAAATATGAATAATATTTTTTGATCTTAGCGACATAATAGAAAAAACTGAACTGGTTATTTGAATAAAAAATCATGAGTGCAATTACTTTAATTTAAATTTTCGTGTTCTCCCTCTTTTTGGTTTATTTGTACGGTATTTGCGTACGCCACACATTAAATACTTTACACTTGGAAAAATACAATGTGTAAAAAAAGTTTGGTCTCTCGGAATAAAATAGATTTTCTCAAAAAAAGAAAGGAACTTGAAAAAAAAATTAAAAAAAGTTGGTCGGTCGGTCTGGGCTCGAACCGGGGTTTTACGATTCTGTGAACGCCCATTATAGCAATTAAGCTATTTATAATCATTGAAAATCTGTCAAAATTTACCTTCTTATTCTAACGATATTGTAGCAGTTTTTCATTGTCTAAAAACACGGACAAAAAAGACATTTTCTAAAAATAAATCCTAGCTAGATCGATTTATTATCCCCGAAACTCCCTGGACACTAAATTTTATGAAAATCGTTGGAGCCGTTTCCGAGATCCCGATTATATATATATATATATATATATATATATATATATATATATATATATATATATATATATATATATATATATATACTGTAAGCTAAAGTGGCAACGGGCCGTACATATAGCTAGAAGAACTGACAAGCGATGGGGAAGAAAGGGTCTCGAGTGGCAACCTCGTACCGATCAGCGAAGTGTAGAGCGACCTGCAGGAAGTAGGGATGTGAGATTTATGGAAAAGAATCGATTAAATAAAAATCGATTTTTCGTTACTTAAAATTAATCGATTTTTTGTATTATTTAAAAGTACATACTTTTAATATTCCAATGATAAACCTAAGAGATTCATATTAACAATTTGTCAGATTTAAAATCAAATAAAATTAAACGAATAAAAAAATAACCAATTTAAAACTAAAAATCAAAGGCCTTTAAAATCCTTTAAAATTTCAAGGTAAGGAATTAGGAAACCAAATAGCATTATTCATAGAAATTTTAGTACTATTAAATGTTTTATTTATTACAATAAATATGAAATGATGAGTACCCCAACAAAATAACAAACTTATTGTCTCAATAACTAAAATATAAACTAAAATAAAAAATTGCCATAAATGTCCAGTCCTATTTTACATTTGACTAGTTTTAAAATAAAATACTTAAAATGAGAATTAAAAAAAAACTAAACGACTACGTTATAGTTTCAAAAACTAAATTAAAATACAAATATTTCGTTAGATACTCTTCAAGTTTATATAATATAATAATAATAAAATATTTATTTATTGACCAAAAGTAATAAAATATTTAAAAGTTAAACTAATACAAACATAATATTTTTAGAAGGACAATGAAAGGGTTCTGACTCAGCATGTGTTGCAGAGAATCTACAACGCTGTTATTCTGTCAGCACCCATATACCTACTTAGTGAGCGAAAGTATAACAGTACGCGTACATCACCGATTATATTACAAGTAGCTTTTAGTGTTAAATTATTTATTTATTTATTCATTCAGCCAGTACAAGAACTATATAATTAACCAGTACAAGTTATCATAATATTTCTATTAATAATTTGATAATTAATATACATGTACAAGAGATAAAACATAATATAAACAAAATATAAACGTAATATAAACAAAAACATGAAAAAAATAATAGTATTAAAAGTAAGAGCTACAGTAGTGTTTTATTTATTCAGACTAATTATAATAATTATGCTAGAACAACGTAATGGTTATTAAAAAGAATATTGGTAGTAAATTTAAGTTACATAATTGCATATATTCAGCCCCTTCCGATTTTTTTTTATATTTATGACATTTTCTGCGTACTTAATAAATACTCTTTGTATTTTCTCTTAAAACTGTTCTTATTTGTTATGACTCGTAATGGTGGTGGAAGATCATTCCAACATTTTGTGGCCATAAATTTGTAACTACCACGAAATGCTGATGTCCTATGTTGAGGTATGCAAAGTACTTTTGCACACTTTCGGATAACGTACATAATCTTAATGTACGGTATCCGAAAGTGTAACTAAGTATAACTTTCGGATACGTTTAAGCAATAAAATAATGATTATTGCCACAGATGTCCAGTTCTATTTTACATTTGTAATATGTAAGGCAGCGGGATGTTTTCGCTCTATGTGCTGTTATAAATTTGTTGTATTGCTACAAATTTTTAATTCTTTTGAACAGTACTTGCATATTGTTGTGATATTATCCCGTCTTCGTTATAAAATACTTTCGCTAGCCGCTTTTAGGATTTTTACGGTTAGAAAACATTTTTATTGTTTACCAACAATGGCAACAACTTTCTCACACAGCACTACACTGAAACTACTTTACACGCCTACATACATGCCTACAGTTGTAGGACAGTTTTTATTTAATCAACTTTACGTATGAAATTAATTCGAGATTTTTCATCCAACGCATAGATGCGCTGTTTATAAAATTGAAACTTACTGCATTTTTTCATAAATCGCATAGATACGAGCTGTTTCTGAAAATCGATTTAAACGCGTAATGTACATAATCGATTTACTAAAAATTGATTAATATTACTATAAAAATCAATAATAAAAAATCGATTATAAGAAAACAATAATCGATTTAAATAAAATTTTTTACATCCCTCACAGGAAGTCGAAGGATGCAGGTAGCTCAGGACCGTGCTTTATGGCATTCCTTGGGGGAGGCCTATGTTCGGCAGTGGACTTGTTAAGGGTTGTAATGATGATGATAGTCAAAAGCCACTGCGGCTTAAAGGTAAAGCTAAAAATTGTTACCTGGTAGCAAGTCGTAGGCTTGCAATATTCCCTCCTTATCTTTCTCCGCCTCTTCGTCTCCAACTTAAATGGTTCTTCGTCGGATTGTCTAAAATAGTAGACAATTATTGTCGATCAAAGCTGCCAACTTTTTTTTTTTGATAACAGACTGTTGTACTTTTGCTAGTATCAAGTAATAGGAATATCTCCACAATAATCACAATATCGATGCAGCATTTCGAAGTTTTTGACGACAGCTTAAGCTAGCAGAGTCGTTGCTGATAGTATCTGAATTTCTTAAGGCGCCTAAGCAAACACAATAACTTGAGGTTTATATCATAATCGGTGCAGATTACACAAAATTGTATCGCTTTTACGTATCAAAATCCATTTCAAATCATTATTAAAACAATAAAATGGCAGCAACGATACGCCGTCGTGAGTAGATTTTGTTATCTAATTACGGGCAGAGAAGGATGTAGGCCATCTACGAGCAGGTCCCTCGACATTTTGCCTTTTTTATCCCTACTTACTATATTATTTTGACATAATGTTTTCCAATTTGCCTACTTTGCCTTAGGTTAATCCGGCCCTATACAGGTCTTGAATTCGAATAATACCAATTGCAAGAGCTGATTTCAAAATCCACTTAATATAAGTCATTGCTCGTTTACAATCCTACAATCTAGTAAGTGATGACGAAGCTCCAGATGATAAATCGCATACTTTAAACACAGCCTAAGAAGGACATTCAGCCAGTCATTGCTAGGGTTGTCAGAACGGGAAGTAATAAAAAAATGACGGGTTGCACTCCGGGACTGCCGGCAGAAGTGAAAACTTGAATATTAACGTTGTGCATTTTTGATATTTTGGAATGATTAGGGAATAATTTTGCACGAATTGCTTTAATTATCACACACGAACATTCGCCTAAACGAAACAGCAGGCGCAGGCATACGCTTCGCCGCACCGTAGAAAGAGAGGGGGATACTTCCTCTCCTACGCCGCGCCGGCGTCTGTCTCTGTCTTACGAATTTTCGATAAGGTCACGTGTCTTGACGCGAGTTTAACATTTTTTACCCATTACAAAAAAGCGTACAACGGCGCTAAAGAAGTTTTCACTTCAAAAATCTTTTATTTTATTTCACGTTTAAACAAATTAAATAACTTAGACAATTAGTGTTTAGATCAGAAATAATAAAATAGCTTATAGTACCCACAGTTTTTACCGCACATATAGGGCAAACCATTTTAATTTACTTGTGTGAAAGGACAACCCTAGCAGACAGTCGCTCGGGAGCGCTTCGGTCGCACGGTACGATTGCCCCGTCTAGGCGCTTTCGATGACCGACTGTTAGTAGTAGTTAGACTGTGATTTAAGCGTACCTAAAGCCTATCTACATCTGCCTTAAAGACGTCCAAATAACAATGTTATTTAGGTAATTTTTACTTTAATAAGGTTGATTTTCCTGTAAGGTAAGATTGACATTCATTCTTATGGTAAGTACGATTCCCATTTTTACCATTTGCATTTGTCTTAGTATTTGTAGGGTTTTCATATTTATAAAACTAAATTAAAGTCAAACAAAAATTTATTTAAATAAGAAACAGCAGCATTATGACAAAATTTCACGCTGGTATGTCGAACCGAACTATTATCCATTCTGCAGTGTGGCTTTATCACGTTTGTCGACATTTTGATTTCTAATTGAGGACAGGCATTGATGTCTAGGGTCGCAGCAGCCACTTAACGTCGGATGGACTGTGTGCTCGTTTGTCCCTATTACTTCTATAAAAATAAGAGACGGAGTGAGCGATATTAAAAATGTAGTTGTTATTTTACTTAAAAATATATTTTTATTTTACAGAAGAGAGGGGGAACAAGCATGCGGCTCACCCGATGGTAAGTGTCAACCGCCACCCAGTAACAACTACAACATTACAGCAATTGCAAGTGTGTTGCTGGTCTTTTAAAAAGGAGTGAGCTCGTGCCTTGAAAGAAAATCGCCGCTGGTAAACGATTCTGTGTGATTCGCACAGTGGTGGACCGTCAAGTATTCAGATGGTATGCTTGGCGGATGGTACAGTTACCGACAGACCGTGTAGTGACGGTTTAAGAATATCCGCTACTCCATATCGTCCCATGGGTGTAGTAAAATGCGTCAGAGGGAAATAAACCAATATGGGCAGTAATGTCGTGGCAAATATATTAAATATCTCCTTATATATATATATATATATATATAAGGATATATATATATATATATATATATATATATATATATATATATATATATATATATATATATATATATATATATATATATATATATATATATATATATATATATATATATAGGGTAGTCTTCCCTTTAAGAGAGATGAGGTACGTATGGAAGTTGAAGCAAAGAAGAGAGCATGGCTAGATTTACTAGCGACCAAAGCTGGTAATTCTGGCGGTAAGAATGATGAGAATGAAAGAAAAAAGGCTGAGTTTAAACGTTTAAATAAGAGAGTAATAGAATTAGTTGAAAGGAAAAAGCAAGAAAGAACGGATAGGAATGATAGAAGAATATCGTAACTTCCAGGCAAATATTAAAATGTTCTGGAAACTCGTAAGAAATACCAGGGGACTTTCAAAACAGCCTAGATTGAATGCGATACGAGACGAGAATGGCTGTATCCTGAATGATGAAGTGTTGAGTCTAAAGAGATGGAAGGAATATTTTGAAAGCGAATTTATGAGTGAGGAGAAGTGTGAACTAAATGAAATAGAAATTCCGAAAGAAGATGAAAGAGATAGGGAGATAAGTAAAGATGAAATAATGAAAGCAATGAAAAGCATGAAAGTAGGTAAGGCAGCCGGATATGATAGAGTTTCACTCGAAATGCTAAGGGCTGGAGAGGACGTGGTGGCAGGCCTGCTGTACACCTTGTTTAATTTATGTTGGGAACTAAAGCGGGTACCGGGAGACTGGTGCAAAGCCGTGATAGTCCCAATATATAAAGGAAAAGGGTCAGACTGTAAAAACTACCGTGGTATCAGCCTTCTTAGTATTGTGGGAAAACTGTATGCTAAGGTACTAATTGAAAGAGTTATGAAAGAAACTGATGAAAAAATTTGGGATGTGCAAGCGGGATTTAGAAAGGGAATGGGGTGTACAGATCAAGTCTTTTCCATGCGCATGATCGCGGAGAAGTTTTTGGCGAAAAACCAAAAAGTTTTTTGTGCGTTCATGGACTTGGAAAAAGCTTATGACAGAGTGGACAGGGATGTGTTATGGCAAACGCTGAACGCATTTAGGTTGAGCGCTGGTTTGATACAGGCATTAAAGTCTCTGTATAGGGACTCGAGTGCTTGTGTTAGAATCAACGGGGTCTACTCGGACTGGTTTGGCATCCATAAAGGTGTCAGACAGGGCTGTGTAGCTTCCCCGTGGCTGTTCAACCTATTTATAGACAGCTTTTTGGAAAATTTGAAAGTTGAAGAATGCGGGTTAAGAATGGGTGAGTTAACCATGCCATGCAAAATGCCTTTTGTACGCCGATGATCAAGTCATACTTGCGTCGTCGGCGGCCGAGTTGCAAATGATGGTTACATTAATGAACAGGTCATTAAAAGAAAGGGGAATGAAAGTGAACGCAAGTAAGACGAAAGTGATGGTTTTTGAAAGAGATGAAAGCAAAACGGTATGTGAAATAAGAATAGAAGGAGAGTTAATTGAGCAAGTGGATGAGTTCGTATATTTGGGATGTGTATTCAGCAGGGATGGGAGATATGATAAGGATATTGAACGACGAGTGAATGCAGGAAATAAAGTAAATGGGGCTCTACACTCTATTGTGAAAAATCAGAATGTGTCAAAAAAGGCACGTATGGCAATTCACAGTGCTGTATTAGTCCCTACTTTAACGTATGGTAGTGAAAGTTGGGTGTGGCAGAAGAAGCACGAGAGTAGAATAAATGCAGTAGAAATGCGGTCGCTAAGGAGTATGTTAGGGCTGAATCTGAGTGACAGGGTGAGAAACTGTGTGATAAAAGAAGAGTGTGGTTTGCAAGATGATGCGGTGACCAGGATTAAGAAAGGAATGCTTCGGTGGTTTGGTCATGTAGAAAGAATGAATGCGGAAAGACTGACAAAGTAAATATATGTTGCAGAAGTGAATGGAAGAGTCGGAAAGGGACGTCCTAGGCGGAAGTTTGTCGACCAAATTGGCGATATACTAAAAATGGGCCAAATTAAGAGTACCCTTAACCGACGAGCATGTATGCGTAGGTATATGGATGTGGAAGAGGCGAGAAAGGTATGTCAGGATCGTGCTAAATGGAAGTCTGTAGTCTCTGCCTACCCCTCTGGGTGACAGGCGTGAGTGTTTATGTTATGTCTTCCTTATAAATTAGCATTATGTTTAGCGGTGGTCTTCGATAGACTCTAATGAAAGAATTATTAAAATTACTCACCGTCTCCTCAAGTTTTTAGTAATCTGTAAAGATTTTTTTAAGATTAGTGATTTGTCATGTTTTACGTGATGTAATAGGATGAGGGCCAAAATTTTATTACTGGACGTTTGGACGACGAAAAAAAAAACGGCAGCCCATTAATACTTTTGCTTTTGTTACTTAATGTTTTGTCTAATAAATTATAAAATAAATATAACGTTTTAAAATATACCGAAACTGGAACGAATTTGATACTCTAAAACATATATCAATTTATCGCAATTAAAAATATCGACGATAAATATCGATAATTTTGTGAGAAAATATCGATATTTTTGCCCAAGCCTAGTTACAGCTCACCTGATGATAAGTGACTACTGCAGTTCATGGACACCAAACCGTTTGGTGATCATGCACCGCATGGTTAGTCGAAAACAAAGGTTGAGGGAAACATGTTATCTTCCTACTGTCTTCTATTATCGTCAGTCCTTTTCGATGTCATGCAACAGTAATCTTAGTCTAAGTACTCTTAGTCAACAGTAATCGTAGTCTAATCTAAGTAAAAATCTGATTCAGCTATCCTACTGACATGTTCTTAGTTAGCATTGTAGATTCTTATTAAAATGTTTGACGTATGATGTCAAACAATCCATCATAACCAAAATATTTTATTTTATTTCATATGGGATTTAAGGGAACTAAGAAGTAATGCATCACACAGCCTGTTATTATCGCCTCTTTATACCCTTCAGACCGGAACACTGAACGCATACATAGGTAAAAAGTAGTACCCACCCATACTCAAAAAGACTTCAAGGCAGAAAAGCAGTTCCATCTGTGATTGCTGTGGTTTTTGGAGCAATTAGTCTTCAGAGTTGGTTTAATGTGTGTTGGCGGACTTCAAGTGTCCCCGAAATATTTTGTTTCTCAGGCTTGCAGGCATGGACTAAGTTGACGACAAATATAGTCTGTTTGCTTAGATAATGTCGCCTTTGTGTCGCGCCGCATTGGCAACTGCCGCATCTTGTCAAAGGCACCGCCGCGACATCAAAGGTCGCTGTCGCGCCCGCAAGAGAATGTGGCGTTTAAAAACGAAGCGCCGTACTGAAAGGTTCTTTGTTACCTAGCTTGTGTTTATTATTTATATTCGTATTTTATCACAACAACCATAAGAGTAAAATAGTATTCTATTATATTCATAGAATAGAAAAACATTTCTTTAACAAACACAGTAAAAAATAAGAAAATAGAAGCAAAATAATAAGTGCGCATCCGGGTGTACCGACACTATCTTAGCGAACAGACTATAAGCCCATGAGGCGATGGATGTTGTCGAAGCCTTCGATCAACGTTTATGATCATATTTTAAATTATTTTAGTGTTCAACGCGACTCAATATTTCCTGGACCAAATTCGAAGAAGAAAACAGAAACATAACAAAATGACGTAGCTCGCCAGGCAATAACGGGGGAAAAAAACTTTATTTGTTATAAGTTAGGGTTGATTTAACACTAAATGTTATTTATGTCTTTTCATTTCCAAGTGATAGGAGTATTATACAGCTTTGTGACTAATGATCGTAAGATTTGTGACTTTATTACTAGATGCGATGGTTGTAATTAGGTTGAACTTAAAACTATTTTAATTTTTTGTCTCATTTCTTTAGCAAACAAATGTAGCTGTTTAAGTTTATATTCACGCGCACAGTATTTAGCTATGATTTTGTACGTGACTCGTTATCTAGTTGGTATTGTTGATCGAAGGTCGAAGCCAATGAGGTAATTCGTGTTGAAAAGTGGAAAACAGCTTGAAGGCGGGTCAAACGCTAATATGTAAAAAAGTATATAAGGACCTTAGCTTGTATTTTCCTTCCCAGCACTTTCTTTGGAGCACTCTTTTGATTTTCACTTTCTGCCCTGAAATGATTTAATTTTTAAATACCCCTTAATAATGTAGTTATTAATTGAATTATCAATAGATTTGTGGCCATTTAATTATCTTGTTTCAGAAAATAATAGGTCGGGGAAATGTTTCTTCGTATTTTTTAATATAAAATTGAAAAAAAAAATCTCTTTGGTTTTTTATCTTTCTGGTTTTAATATCAATACATAGGACATAATGAAAAGAAAAATGAAATGTCAAAAACACTTCCTCGGCATTTTTAGTTGTTTTTCTGTCCACCAAACTGAGTGAATATAACGAAGAAATTCGATACATTCTGAAGTTTATTACAATATTACAAAAAAAAAGGGAAAAATACGACTCAATTAGCGAAAAAAAATATTTATGGACCTAATGTAGTGTCATTAAGAGTAGCACAATATTAGTTAAAGCGTTTTCAGTCCGGGAATTTTGATGTCAAGATGCAGATCGTTCTGGTCGCCATCATACGGATAAAGTCGATGCCATTTTTGAAAAAGTGGAGCAAGATCGGCATATTAGTAGAATAGAGGATTGAACACAAGACTGTTTTGACCCATTTGAAAAGTCTGGCTATACAAAAAAGCTCGATATTTGGTATTAGCTCACTGAAAGGAACCTAATGAATCGTGTACTCATTTGCGAATCTCTATTGAAACGAAATGAAACCGAAACATTTTTGAAAAGATTGATCACTGGTGATGAAAAAGTGGATCACTTACGACAAGAACGTGTGAAAAAGATCATGGTCAAAGGTTAGTCAAGCTCCACAGACTGTAGCGAAACTCGGATCAACACGCAATAAGAGGTGATGCTGTGCATATGGTGTGATTGGAAGGGCGCATTGTTTATTATGAGCTTTCAACGAAAGGAAAAACCTTTGATTCGGATCTCTACTCCCAACAACTAATGAGATTCAAGCGAGAAATTGAGAAAAAAAAACGGCCGAAATTGAGCAACTGAAAAGGAGTGGTCTTTCATCATGATAACGCCAGACCACACAAATCGTTGGCCACTCAGCAAAAATTAAGAGAGCTTGGTTGGGAAGTGTGTGAATGCATTCACCTTATAGTCCTGAACATAGACCCTCAGATTTTTACCTATTTCGGTATCTTCAGAATTCTTTGGGTAGTGATAGGTTAACATCAAGAGAGGACTGTCAAAACTACTTGTCGCAATTTTTTGACCAAAAATCCCAAGATTAGGGGATCTACAAGATGGCAACAAGATATCGAACAAAATGACAAATAAAACAAAACACACCCCCACCTTTTTTTTCAAGGTAGATTTCTAGAAGACCACCGCGCATCTGCTCCACGCCTCCGGAGTAGTGCCACCATGGAGGACGGAATTGAAGAGCTTCTGAAGGACTTCAAGTACCGGTGTTCCACCCGCTTTCAGAAGCTCCAAGCGTCTACGTGCTGTTTTCGAGAGTCATTACGAATCGTCTCGCACGCAGACTCGACGACTTCCAGCCTCCCGAACAAGCCGGTTTCCGAAAAGGCTTCAGTACCATAGGCCACATACATACCCTGCGGCAGATTGTACAGAAGACCGAAGAGTACAATCTGCCAATATGCCTGGCATATGTGGACTATGAGAAAGCCTTTGATTCCGTCGAAATTTGGGCGGTGCTACAGTCCCTTCAGCGGTGCCAAGTTGACTGTCGGTATATCGAAGTGCTGAAGTGTTTGTACAGTAGGGCTACGATGGCTATCCGAGTACAGAACCAGAGTACGAAACCTATCCAACTGCAGAGAGGTGTAAGACAGGGTGACGTTATATCCCCGAAACTCTTCACCGCTGCGTTGGAAGACGTTTTCAAGCTACTGGACTGGAAAGGATACGGTATTACATCAATGGCGAGTACATCACTTACCTTCGATTTGCCGACGATATAGTCCTTATTGCAGAATCGCTGGAGGACCTTAGCACTATGCTCAATGACATCAATGGTGCCTCCCAACGGATAGGTCTTAAGATGAACATGGACAGAACAAAGATCATGTTTAATGTCCGTGTCACACCTATGCCGGTAGTTGTTGGGAGCACTATGCTCGAAGTTGTTGACGAGTACGTTTACCTGGGACAAATAGTCCGACTAGGTAAGTCCAACTTTGACCGAGAGGTCAATCGACGGATTCAACTCGGCTGGGCAGCGTTCGGGAAATTACGACACATCTTCTCGGCAGGTATACCTCAATCTCTGCGTGATAGACTCAGAAATGAGGATATCCGCAGTAAAACCAGAGTGACGACATAGCCCAACGGATTAGTAAGCTGAAGTGGCAATGGGCCGGCCATATAGCTCGAAGAACCGATAACCGACGAGGAAGAAAGGTTCTCGAGTGGCAGCCACGTACCGGTAGGCGTAGTGTAGGGCGACCCCCCCACTAGATGGAGTGACGACCTGGTAAAACATGCAGGAAGTCGATGGATGCAGGTGGCTCAGGACCGTGCTTTGTGGCATTACTTGGGGGAGGCCTATGTTCAGCAGTGGACTTGTGAAGGGCTGTAATGATGATGATGATGATGAATCTTTGAAAAAAATATCTTAAATTTGTATAAGGTCACCTGGAGCAAGTGTGACATAAATTAATTAAAACTATAATCGACATTTAAATACTTCTACTCTGTAAGGATTTAATATAGAGAGTTCAGTTTCATAACATCAATTATAAGGTGGTTGTATGTTTGAATAAGAATTTAAGTATCTACATGTAGCATTTTGTAATTTGAGGTAATTAAATCTAAATGAGGTGGAAGACTGTCACACTTACCCATCAATGAGGCAAGAAGCATACGGTCTTCTTTTTGTAGTTACTTTATTATTATTATGTGGTTTTTAACCAAATTGATGAGATGATACTAACGTCGATATATTTTATGATCTATGAAAACGAAAAACGATTTGAACTTTCATTTTTGTGTAACAATGTATTTTCACCAACATGGGGTAAGTGTGACTGTTTTTAAACCAATATAATGATGTGCCTTTAAATAGATTTACTACACTAGCTCCGGATGTTTTGTAAGTATAATAAAAGCAATGCCAAGTGCAAAATAAAATTTAATACAGAACGTTAACAATTTATAATAATATAATCATCATAAACGGAACTGTAACACTCGATAGGTATTAGGTGAGGTAAGTGTAACTGTACCCGTATTTCAAGGAGTAGTGAATTTCAGGTCGTAGAAACATATTACTCTATAAGTACCAATATTATTCTTTATCACCCACCTTGTATGTGGTTTCAAATAACTTAACGACATATCGAAACACTTAATAGCTTCACCTCTTAAAATTGCGCTGTCTGTCGCCAGTTGAGTAGTTTTTGAAAATAACGTCTGTCGATAAAATAGTTCAAGCTATGTACTTAACTGTCAGTTTAGTCAATAGCGTTAAATTTCTTGTGTTGTTTAATAGATGGAATTAAACCACAAACCGTGTTTAGGCCCCATAATTTGCATTTGTTACACTTGCCCCACTGTCACACTTGCCTCGGGTGACCCTATATGAAATACGAAGAAACTTTTCCCCCGACCTTATATTTACCAACTGAATATCAGCGTAAAATAGCAGCTCAACGTGTTCCGTACGGCGAGTGTAGAGAATCGGAGACCCTTTTTACTGGATACGAGATATTCTACCTGTTCTCAGGGATGACAACACATCTGCATTTTGATTCTTAATCAAGGATAAATTTAGATGTCTATGCGGCACAGCATCCAGCGTATATCAGGTGGGTTGTAAATTAGTTTGCAACTTCCGTTTAAAAAAAACAACAACTATGGCATTGCTTGGTAGAAATATTAAAAGGTGGCTCACTCAGCTCCCTCAGAATGCATAGCGGAGTGAAACAAATGTTCTTCGTATGCCTTCCTTGTTTCAAAGCGAATATTGCACCGATCACAGTAGGTGTTCACATCTTCGTAGTCGTCTGGGCTTTCCTAAAACGAGATGATATAGTGTTCAAGAAGTTTAGAATGAAACTAAGAGATGGATAACGGATTACTCCATGTTTATATATATATATATATATATATATATATATATATATATATATATATATATATATATTCATAGAGTAGAAGAAATTTAAACTTAAGTTCAAATGTATAAATAATGATACACGAGCAAATAAGGCTTTTACTTTTATTTGAAATTATCCCAAATTGAATATGATTTATGGGCAACAACATTTTTTGCCTACCGATCGACCCTTACGAATATGTGCGTGCGTAGTAAAATCAGTTAAAATAATGCATTACCATGCATTTTGAATTTAAAAAGATAAAAGAACAGAATTTTTGAGTTTTTATTAATTAATTTTTCTTCAGCATTTGGCTATATTATTTATTCTGAACCTTTTTTGCAAATTTGTCCGGTGATTTCAAAATAACCCTAGATATTAAAATTAAATTAATTGTTATATATAAAATTCCTTAAGTTTCGAGTACTTTGCAGCACTATAACCGCTAAGCCGGTATGCTTGGGTTTATATTTAATTTTACTAGTTATAGGATCCCAAGCATTTAGCTATCTTCTCTGTCGGAATTAGGATGTCTTTAATCAACTAAGCCTCAGCCAAGGATGATTTGGTAGAAATCGGAATTGTCAATCACATGGGGATCTGAGACACGGCCGTATGAGGTAGCTCAAGGTCTCGTCTAAGAAGAAGGCTATGCTCGAAGTTTCTCAGCGTGATAGAATTCATTATGAGGATATCCACAGTAGAATCAGAGTAACCGCAATAGCCCAACGGATCGGTAAACTGAAGTGGGAATGGGTTGGCCATACAGCTCGATTCTCTTTGGCAGGCGAATATAATACTTAACTTCCCGAAATTTGTAACGTAAATATAATATATCATAATTTTGTTGTTTTTGCAGTGGACTGGAGCCCTAAACAAGATATCCCCGTATTTCAGTACTCCAAGTTGACACTTCATCTAGAGGGGAGTCGCCCAACACTGCGTTTAAAAGTACGAGGCTGCCACTCGAGAACCTTTCTTCCCCATCGGTTAACGGTTCTTCGAGCTATATGGCCAGCTCATTAACACTTCAGCTTACTGATCCGCTGAGTAATGTGCTTTGGTTTTCTTTAGAACGGATTACCAGATTGAAATAATAGCATACTGCTGCTGTATTTCCAGTAATGAGTGGAAGAACCGAAGACATTTTTTACTTGTAACAAAGCATTTCATCTTAGACCTCAGGAGTGACGACCCATTTTCATTCTTAATCGAAGATAGATGTAGACGAATCTATATGGGCCACAACATTTAATTAATATCAGATAGATTATGTGCATATGTTTATATATGAAAGATTTTTGCATCTTGGATTGTCACTGAAACAACTTGTGTTTTTCTTGCTCTGTTCATTTAAATTAAAATACTGGGAAATAGTGTTCAATCAAAGTGATCTTTGTGTAGTGTTTGGAGATTGATTCACATACATTGTAAGTTGATAAATATAGTAAAACTGTGATTTTGAATTGCGTTAGTCTTGTGTTTAAATATACTACCCTCTAAAAATTTGACATTCTCAGCTGTAAAAAAGTGATCATAAACAATACCGGGTTACCACATAAATAAAAATAGACTACCTAAACCATACTACCATTTGGGAGCAGTAAATTCAAAATGGCACAGTGTTTCAAGTGTAACGGTCGTATTGATGATAAGGCCCCAAAAATTAATTGCAAAGGCTGCAAAAGAGTAATATGTACTAAATGCAGTGGACTAAGTGCAACAGAAATGCGTGTTGTTGCACTTCAAACACATAATAAATAACATACACATAATATAGCGACATTAGCCTAATGGCAGGGCGCGGACCGCGAACTCAAAAAGGTCGTGGGTTCGAATCCACCATTCGACTACTGGCGTGAACCACTCTTAACACAAGCAATTTAAGCTTACCTCGAGTGGTAAGGGGAATATTAGTAATGTTTATAGCATTGTTAATAATCTTTAAAAAAAAACCCAAATTATCACACTTATGTGACGGATATTTATAAACATTGTAGATAATTTCGCGTGCCTGACCTCGTAAAGGTTTCCCTCTTTTTCCTAAAGATACCATAGTACAACTTAAAATTATTTAAATTTGGGGGTGTTAACAACTCTTTAAACTGGACGCGACCACACTTTATCGCACTTGAACAACGACTGACAAAACGTCACATAAGTAGTATGCGACAGAGATAACGCTCTACGAAGCCGAAACTAGCCGATTGTCTCTTTCCAAATGTCGATGTGCAATATTTATCGCCGGGTACTGTATATTCAGTGCTCGATTTGTCATTCTTGTAAATGCGCCTAACAATTTAGTGTATGATATTCTTCTGGCGTTCTTCGTGATGTGTTTGCGTGCGTGCGTGCATATGTGTGTATGTGTGAGAGAGACAGAAAAGAAGAGAAAAATAAAAGAGAGCGAGGCAGGAGGGGGGAGAAGAATTGGGAGGGAGGGAGAGACAGAGAAGTGGAGATAGAGAGAGGAGATAGAGTGTGGGAGATAGAGAGAGAGAGAGAGAGAGAGAAAAGATGGGAGTAATGAAGGGAAGGGGGAAAAGAAGACAGTTACAAAAATATCTTTGTAAACTGATAATTAGTGTTTTAAAATAGTGTCCGCAATTGCGGTTAAGGTCAGTTATATTTCCAGAACCTTGGTATTAGTTGAGCTCAAATACTTACGATCTCGTGGGTGACGTGTTTGACACGCTTATGCTGACGTAGTCCACTTTCGCTAACAAAAGAAACACCGCATAGAGTACACACGTAATCGCTTCGGTGTGTACGCAAGTGCGTGTAGTACGTCGACGAATGTCTGCAATTGGTGATACAGATAAATGTCACCAGCTGTACTTGTGTTCGTTTAGTAATAAATTCGTAAATCAGATATCGCAATAGAAGTAGGGTGACATAGCAAAACGTAATCAGTAAGCGAAAGTGGCAACAGACCTGCCATTTAGCTCGAATGACCAGTAACCGGTGGTTCTCAAGTGGCAGACTATTGCCGGTAAGCGAAGTGTCGTGTGACTCAAGACCTTGTTTTATGGCATTCATTGCAAGAGGCCTTTGTTCAGAGTGGATCAGGCTAACGGATGGAATGAATAAAATATTTCGATTACTAAAGAAATTTTTAATACTGAATTACATTTTGAGGATATTACAACTTGGCCAGACTTGTGGTCAGCCCTTAATAATAATATAAAAAAACTTACCTAAATTGTTCACCGCAATGCATACACGTCTTCGCGATACCACTGTGGTAATCATCGTGGAGTATTGCGGAATATCTGTAAAAGATAAAACAATAGTCGATATTACCTTCCGCGACAATTTTTATTTTATATAGGATACGAATAACAAATGATCAACAAGTCCACCTAATGGTAAGTGGATACTGTGGCCCGTAGACACCACGATTAAATATCAAAATACAGATGTGTTGTCACCCTCCAGGATTTAGTGAGTGCAATGAAAGAAATAAAACAAGTGAAAGTGCAAATGCAAGAGGAGGTACAAGTAAAATCCGACTTCAAAGAACTAAAATAAAAATATTTTCCACTAACAGCTTTAGAGGTAGGTGCTAACGTATATAGAAGCAAAGATTTAAATAGTTAGATGCGCTTTCACCTTGAAAAACTGCTGCATTATTTTTGAATGTGTGCGTTTGCAAGACGCTCACGCGCGCACACTAATGCGTGCGCAAATCGGTGTCATCTCTTATTAAAAAAGTAAAAGTATATTTAATAAAATATAGATACTTACGAGTGAAATGTAACCTTGGGCTTTATTTGTTTCTAGAATTATTATTACACTTACGAAAGGCACACGATGGCATTCTGAGTTCTTTTTTGGTGAAATCAGCGCGTTAGTTCCAATGTGCAACATCTGGCTGTCACTGCGCACAAATGAACACTGATTGCGAATGAGTGAGCTCACTCATTTGAGAATAAACACATTTCGGAGTGGTCATACTATGGTAAAGGCACTACAAACTATTTAAATCTTTGTATAGAGGTACTAGACCTCGATTTCAGAAGCTGTTACGTGAACATTTTTGAAATAAAAACTTCTTTAGAATCGTTGTGATTTGAATGAATTTCTTTATGAATGAATGAATGAAACTCGATGAAACGAAAAAGCGACTTTAAAGAGAGACAAACATACATTCCCTCTTCCCCCGGGCCGCAGTCAAGTGCAGACGTGCTAAATAATATTATTTTATAATAAATTAAAATCGTAATATTCAGTAGTGACAAAAAATCGATTAAAAATAGGAGTGCATAATCATACCGGATCATAATATTACGGTCATTGATACTATAGCACCGCAGCCCCGCCCAGCATCTACGAAGCAGGGATAACTAAGTGGCTCCGCCTTATAGACTAATCACTACGTACTTCTGCAATCCTGGTACCGTAAGTGCATGAAAATGATTGCATTGTAATTTACGACAATCATTCGTCACTTTTAACATATCACCCAAACCACCTTGCAATATATACGAATTAGTGACAATATACTAGTTCTGTCCTTCGGACTAATCACTCCGTACTTCTGCTGCCCTAATATCATAAGCGGCCAAACCGCTAAGAAATGTATCGTACACCTGAAAAATCTAGTTCCGAATCCAACTCACGATAAATCTTAAGTAATCTGAATCTTCGCCATCAGCAAGCTTTACAAATACGCGTACTAAAAGGAAACGCTGGGAGGAGGCACCCATAGACTTCTGCGAGTTTAAAAATGAAATAAAAGATATGTTATCCTCATCAATGTCTCAACAAAATAGTGAAAGAATACAAATTACGTCTTCTTAGAGAAGTATTATATATATATATACTTAAGTATTAATATATAGATAAACTATTGAAGACTCGATGGCATTTATGTCTGCACAATTTGAAGATATGAGGAAAAAATGGAATAAATGGAACGCGAAAGACGGAAGGATAAAGAATACATGCCTCATATTAGAAAATAAAATCGAGGATCTGCGAAAGTCATATCGGAAATGCTCATTTGAACTAAAAAAATGTGTCGAAAATGTATAATGAATCAAAATCATCGCTTATAAATATGGTTACTCAATTGTCTGCATCGCCCAAAGTTGAACTCAAAACTAACGATATATAAGACATTTATAGATCCTCTTACAAGGGCGACAAAAAACCTATAGTAGTCGAATTTTCGTCCTACATACAGAAGACGAATATATTGCACGCTGCAAAAAATATAACTATCAAAATAAAAACAATAAACTCAATTCCTATTTCAGGTCAGGTCAGGTAAACTTGTCGGACAGTTCACAGGTCAACCGCGACCTATTCACCTATCAACGAATTGTCTGTCCAGATATGAGTGCATATACGTTTGTAATGAGCTGGACATCCATCATGCTGGAAGGACATTCCTTGCAGATGGCTCAGAGGAACGTTTTCCAACATTGTGTATATGACGGAACGTATCATTTGCACATACGTTACGTGCGTCAATAAACCTTTAATCCATATTGGACCAATGATGTGGTCGTAATCCATTGTCGCCCAAAGGTTAACACTGAAACGAACTTGATGAGCATTTTCTTTGATTTGTGTGCGTTTTGGAAAGTCCATCAGTGCTCATAGTGCACGTTGTAAATTCCAACTAGAGTAAATATCGATTTGCCGCACCGTCTAAGTTTTCACTAGACAAGACATAAAATATCGTAATTGTTAGATACTCGACATTAGAGTATTGGTACATATCTATGATACACACGTGGAAACATAAAAAATACGACGGCGACGCGACACAGATAACTAAAATGAGAGTTGAGGGAGTGGGCGTCTTTGCCCTTGACCCTGTGACCCTGCGAAAGGACATTGACGTACAAATTTATTGTTTTATTGCCGCTCGTAAAGTAAGGTCGGTATGATTTGAGTTTCGATAGATTTTAATTGTATTATTTTTTTAATTAAAATTTTTTGTTTTTATTTTTTGTAAAATATTAGTGCCATAGGCTTCTACTCCCTTCACCTATTACATCATATTTTTTTACAGACGGTAAAAAAGGCATCAAGTATATTGGTTCAAATGGTGGGGGGGGGGTGGATTTTGCCATAATTGCCACGCTTGGCAGGCAGTTTGACAACCGCAGTATTTGATAATTTTGAGTTGCTATGAGGAAGATGTTGCTGCCTATCTCCTCTCTCAGTTTCCTTTCATACCTACTTCAACTTCCTATTTGGACAACATTCTATTTATTACACTGATATTATAATCAAAATAGTCAAAAACTTTTAATAAGAAGTAAAAGGCTATTTCAAAGAAATAAAAGAATAAAATGATCTCTACATTACAGCTACTAAAGTCAGGGCTTTCCATTATATACACTATATCTTACTAACGACTTTTGGAGAGGTGCTAAGGCATAGTATACTATATAGAAGTACTAAAGCCCCGACGAGAAACAGAAGTTGTTATGTGCAAATTATTTTGAATTCTGTGTTATAAATATTGTTTTTTATGTGCTGTTAAATAAATAAGTTATTCACAAGTAAAAAGTTTAGTTTAAGTAAAAGCAGTTAAAGTTTCCTCACCTTAGTGAACAAACTAAGTCACACCTCAGGCATTTGTATTTTTTATAATGCCGTTCCATGTGTCTATGTAAATGGCATCTCAATTTAAAACGCATTCGGCAGAAGCGACACTCGAAGTCACCTAAATCCTGTAAATAAAAAAGTTTTTTTTTAGAGTTACCACTGTCGATTTATGATCGCTTCTCAGTAATTGTTAATATTTCCAGTATGTTAAATATTACATGAATATTGTTATTTTGTTTTTGGATATTTTTACGAATATTTTATAAAATTGAATTAATAATAAAATATAAACTAAAATACTAAAATAAAAATTAAAACAAAATTCGAATTATTTTTACGAATATTTTATATTCTTCTAAGCTTGGTAGCAGGACAAAAGACAAACTGTCAAAAGCTCATAAGTGAATATTAAAGAGGAATGCCCACTCTTCATAGACATTTCGGCCATGGGTGCCCACATATAAAAGCATATAGATATGATAATATACAATTAAAGGAATGAAATGGTTAAGAAATTGGTTTAAAAAAAGTCGGGAATTTTAAGATATAAAAGTTTTTATTTTCACAAATACAGTTTTTTAACAACTAATTTTACCGATGTTATCGCATTTAATTTCTTTGATTTTTAATTCCCGACTTTCGGGTGCTTTCCAGCACACATGGTCATGGAGGTGACTGGTGTACCGAAATCAGTGTTAACTTGGAGTAACTTCAGCTTTTTAATAACTATTTATGGTCCGATCTACGCAGAATGAACTTACTGTCTTGAAGTCTTGCGTGGTATGCTTGGGTTTAGTTTTAATTTTATTAATTACAGTGTCCCAAGCAGGTGGAAATACCCAGCTTCATTCTCTATTGAAATTAGAATGTTTGAATATGGGTGCAATACATTACCGACTTCAGATTGCAACGAGGATGAACTAGATGATTCAGATGGTTCCCGTTCTGCAGTTGAATGTGATGCTGCTCTATCAAACCTTCGCCAACAATTATGACACACACGAGATGACGATGGCAACTGAAATAATATTAAATAAAAAAGTGAAAAAGTGAACTAAATAAAAATAAAATAGATTTGTTTCCTTTAATCTCAAATACATATAAAATATTTATCAAGTTAATTGTTACTGCACAAAAGCAGACTTAATGGCCTATATTATTTAATAAAGCACTTAAAAACTACCAGTAGTCCAAAAACAATGAAAAATCAATTGTCTCATTACTTGGTAGTTGGTAAAAACGGTAGCAGTCTATCTGGTGGTGACAAGCTAATCTTATCGCCATGTTATAAATAAGCTTGTATGTTTGTCAGATATAGTTTGTGTGGATGTAATCAGAGTAAAAACATGTATCACTATCAGATATGAGCCCAAACACTTAATAAATTAAAAAATGTTGAATACGTACCTCACGTGGTGCAATTTGATGGGCAATTTCATTCCTTATGAGTTCCTCACGTGGAGAATCAGACCCAAACAATGTGTGTGATCTTATTCTCAAAAGTGACTTGCCACAGCTGATACATACATGTCCATGACTATTAATTGGTGAATTTTCCTGTTCGCTAGTTGGATGTCGTATTCGAAGGCTAGTTCGTTACTTCGATAACAAATTCACAAAAATAAAAACAAACACGCAAATGAATTCTACATGTGACTATTTATATAGGTATAGATATAGTTGTGAAATATGAACTGAATTGTGATTTCATTCCATGACAGGGCCTAGCTGTCAGACTCGATGTTGCCACTTAACTGACATAAAATAGATCAAAAGATATCGATTTTTATTCGATTAATAATATCGTTAAAAAACAATCTTTGAGGTGCTTTAAGTTCTGCACACTTTTTAAAATATATTTTCCTTTATTTATTTAAATGCTATTTGAAATGTATTTTTAAGAACAGTTAAATTGTGCAGTAGCGTTTTGTTTAGCTTTAACCTTTTGAGCGCCACGCTAAAAACGCATTACCGTGTCCTGTACGCCAAAGCGCCAAAACAAAATAGTGTTGCCAAGAGTTGATATATCGATAACGTAAAATAACTTGTTTTTGTTGGTTTTTTATGCTATAAATGACTCTTTATAAACTGTATGTTTTATTTAATCTTGTGCTGTCATCCACTCTTTTTATATATGTACTTTGTACATATAAACATAAATAAAAAACAAACAATAACAATAAAATAGTAGTAAACCACAGCACTACTCTCCATCCTAATGACAACACTGTCACGACTAGACGACAACGGCGTAGCTGACCTTCCTTTTTTAAACATTCTTAGAATGTTGTGTATCGATTTCAAAATCGATCTAACCGAAATATACAGACATCGATTCATAATATTTTATGTGTCGGGGAAGGCGTAGACCAAGTGAAGTACAGAAGAAAAGTCTTACACTCTTATGACAATGGGGATTTGATATGATGCTGATGCTGCTAGATGATTTTGAGACTGAGAAAGAAAATAGCACAACACAAAATGAAAAATTGCTCTTCACACCTTAAGTAAAAAAACATTAATGGTAATTTTGTATTATTATTAAAAAAGGTACATAATTATTCATTAATCAACAATTGTATATAATTATTCGCACTAGGTAAATCAGCCTTATAATACTAAAATCTTGGTCATGGAATAAATAAACATTTCATCACAATTCATCAATCAAAAATCAAAATTCATCATCATCGACGCTTTCCAAAATCCGAATGAGTTCTGAGGAATCGTTCATGTTGCATTGCTCTACTTTTCTCGGTAATCACTTATGACGTCATTAGGGTGTCGTCTATCCTTGATCACGGTGCCCAGTGAACTGATTTTCGATGACGCGCTAAAGATGCGCTAGAGTTGAGATATTAGATTTATTATGCGAAGATAATCTGATAACATTTTTTTATTCATGTAGCTAATTATAGTTTTATGTTTCTAACCTTTAATTTTATTCAAATATCAATAATAATAGAAAAAAAAAACACCATTGAGCTGAATTTTGGATAGTTTTCAAGAAATATATGCCTCCCGCGTTTGACACTAGCGGTCAACCATAGACGACTTTGGCGTGCTGGACATAGTATTTGCTTAGATAAAAATCCATTTTTATTAGTTCAATGTTTCTTAGTACTTGTGGCTCTAGAAGACTTGTTTTTTATACTCACATGTTGCTGGGTTATTCCTATTTTGAGGAGTGTAGAATTAAAATACCTGTAATAATTTTCCAATATCTGTATTTCATATTTTTCGGAGCCGGGTTTTTTGTCAACTATAGACGTCGTTGGCGCTCAGGGCCCGCAGGTGTTGGTCAAGTATAGGCGACTTTGGCGCTCAAAAGGTTAAAGGATTCATGGTAAATCAGCTGGAAATTAACTTGTTTCGTTATCATAACATGATTCTATTTTAAATGTATTGTTATAAACAGATAAGAATAACTTAACCGATCTTCTTTAAAAACAGATAAGAATAACAGTTCTTATCTGTTTTCAAAGAAGATCGGTTAAGATTAACAGTTAAATTGTGCCGTAGCATTTGTTATTCTCTAAAGAATTCATTGGAAATCAGCTAGTAATTCGTTGTTTAATTATCGTAACATCATAATTATTTAAAAATTATATTAGCACTGTAATGATGACACCGTAAATAATCGATCGAAAAAGAGAATCGATTTTTTAAATGTGTTTTGTGATTGGCAACACTTTTTTTTTATTCACAAACTAATGACATAATGATTTACCTAATTTTTATTATTATGTTTCCGGTACTTTTAATTTGTGCAAAAATATTCCCATTGTTTGAGGATAAATGAATACCGCGATTAATAACCATAAATAAAGATATAATTTTTTAACAAATGCACATTGTTGGGCGTTCCATGGCCGAAAATGGGCGTCCCCCTTTACATTATTAACAACATGTAAACTATACAAACATTTAAGGGAAAATTAATCAAAATGGCACAGCGTTTCAAAAGTAATAGTTGTATTGATGACGACCCCAAAAATCAATTGCAAAGGCTGCAAGAGAGTAATATGTACTAAATGCAGTGGACTAAGTGCAACAGAAATGCGTATTGTTGCACTTCAAACACGCAAATTGTCATACCTTAGTGATGAATGCGAGGAGGGGCACTAAGGCAGATTCCAAAACTTCGCGGACTTGTTACGTAACTCAAACATCAGATTCAAGGGTTAAAGACAAATCAGATAAACATAGTGAATTTTTGGACACAGTGATAAATGCAATTCAGGAAAGAAAAAATCGTAGTCTTAATCTTATTGTGTTTGGAATACCTAAATCTAAAGCAAATTCATCAGACGACAGAAAGTCATGATAAAGACCAGACTTTTAAAACTATTACGTCACTGGCAATTCCCGAACCCGAAATTCTCACCGTTTTCCGTTTGGGTAAACCTGAAAAGCCGCGTCCTGTCAAGATAGTCGTGGCCGATAAACAAAATGCTATAAGTGTTCTCAAAAATAAAGGTAAGCTGCGAAACTCTGTTAAGGTTAAGTCTGATGTGACACCATATCAAAGAGATCAACTTAGAAAACTTCGTGAAATCTAGCGGTTAGAAAAGAAAAGGGTGAGCGAAATCTTACGATTAAATATATCAATAACATACCAAAAATTATATCAACTACAAAAACTTGCTCATCATAATATCACAGAACTCCGCATGCTATACACGAATTTGGCTTCCATTATGGTAAAATTTGATTTGTTTTTTCTTGAAGTTAATACACATAAACCTGCTTTTATTTTGATATCAGAAACTCATTTACATTCTAGAACTGATGACAGTCTTATAAATATAAACGGATATATTACGGTCTTTCGGTTGGACAGAGGAGAAAGAAAAGGGGGAGGAGTAGCAATGTATGTCGCACATGTCATTAACAATGTACCTGTTATATCAAAAGTCAATAAATTATATTATAATTCTTTGTCCGAAATATTGTGGTTGATATACGCTATGAATTTTTAGATTTAATTTTAGCTTGTATCGTTCTCCCTCAAATGTTTACAAGTACTGATAAAAAATTATTTAACACCATAGAAAAGACAGCTTCAAAGTAGACAGTAATTATTGCAAGTGATTTCAACTTACCAAATATAAAATAGCCACTC